TCACCAAAAGCCCATACAGTAAACTTCTGCCACAGAAGCCCAATAGCCTAAAAATAATGCCAAAACAATTTCCCCCTTTTTTTGAGGAGAATGCGGCTGACAAAAACTTTTAATATGATTAAAAGCTCTTGTCTGCGTTTAGCTGGAGCGTTTGCTTTGTGTGAGAACCAAACAAAAAAGCTGTTCTGCACTCAAACTAATTATTTTTAAATTGTCCGGCTAGTGCCTTCTGCCACGTTGGCAATTTATTTTAATTCTTGTTTTCTTCAAAAATAATGGTGCAAAAACGCTTTCGTTGCGCTGGAAAGTGTCGGCTAAAAGCTTCGAGTGTGTCTTTATATTAATAGCGTTTTAACTCCACTATTATTCTCCTTTATTGCATATAAGTTGACGGCCATCAACCGAAATGGAATTAGTATGGACAGCCACCTGCTTTATCCGCATAATAAGGGTGGACGGTTGCATTTACTCACAATCAACACGATGTTTAAAAATAGCCAACCCCACTAGTCATATTTTTAGCACGAAAAAATACAGATGCTTTATTGATTTTCGTATGTGAGCAGCTTTGAAAAGGAAATCCGGAAGGAAAAAATATCGTTCATTTAATCAATTTCATTTGCTAACTCCGATCGGAGCCCTTTGGGTCTCTTTAATAAATTATATTGCTTTTTTCTTAGATCTGAAAATCGCTATAGAGAAAATCGGTTAAAAATAAGCGGCCTTAAATCATGTGATTTTATAAAATGTGCCCGTTAAAATCCTTGCTTATTTATTATAAATTTCAACCAGCGACATTGAAAGTTAACTTCAGCAAAGTCCAAGAAGCTTTACGAAGTTCAACGACTGCTGTGACAGAGAAAAGCAGATCACTTTGCCTCATAAAATCCCAAGTTTCTCTAGCTTTTAATAAATACACTAATAGATAGATATATGAATAATTAGAAATCTTCAACAAACGGAGATGTAATCGACAAGAAAACGCAAGAAGCGCGAATATAATTAAACATTGATAAACTGTAACACATATTTCAGCTTACCAATCAAATACGAATTAGCCAGCTAGATGAAAATAGTCATTCATAAGTTATAAACGGGTTTTGTTATGAATTAACCAAAAGCAAACATTTATATCGCAATCCGTTCGTTCAGTATTCATTGGTATTTTCCCAGGCACTGATTTAATTATGTAGGATTTCAATAAAACTAATATTGGAAGAGCAACCAATATCATGTGTGTTTGCTGCTGTTGTGGGTAAAATGCGCCGAAATATAGGGTGTTAATGTAAACATGTTATAAAATTTGAAAAAATACTTTTCCGAATTAATGATGGAAGAATTCTAAATAACAGAATTCCCACAACCGTATCGTTTCCATAATACGCGGGTTAAAGTTTTCTTAAATTCCTCTTTAGTTACGTACATCCTGTATAAAGACAATATTTACCGCTCCTCATCAGGAGAATGAGTAGGGGAAAACGAAGTTTGTGCACATTCATTAAAGAATCAGCTTGAACTTCAGACACATAATTAACAAACAGTGAATATAAATGATCTTTTGCAAGTCCAATCAGTGAATTTCATCAAGAGTGTTTTTATTGGCGTCCAACGCAATTTTCCGGATCAGTTAACGCGAGATAATAAAATCGTTTTAATCTAATGAGGCAAATTTTTCTCGACAAACGAGACGGTGGAATTCAAATTCAAACGGCATCACTAAATGGCTATACCATTATCCCCAAATATCATTAATAAGCGATCCCCGGAGTCACCGGTGCCCGGAAAATGCAAATTAAATAATTCCCTTCAAGTCAGGACCCCCGGAACAAATGTATGTCAAGCGGAAACTCTCCGAGGAGCAAGACGCCCGTTCAGGATTATCAGGACGCTAATTCTGCTTACCTTATATTGTACTGTTAAGCGCCGCGACGCCTTAAAACTTACATGATCACATTTGTGTTTAGCTTGTAGGTGTTTGTGGCCCCAAAATTGCTTCTAGCAATTATCAGTTTATTAGATATAAAAACCTCATTTTCTTAACATGACAATACCAGAAAGTTCTGATTGCTGCATTCGAATTTATCTCAGTTCAAAGATCGTGCAAATGGGCTCAATTGGGAACCTTATTACATTATCTCCAGCCCAGTTAATTAAACATCTTAAGTCAGCCCCTTTGCCGGGATAATTTAAATTAATTAATGCGTTTTAAGGTACTGCCCTACGGTATCCCAACTGCCTAGCTAGACGTTATGAGGCTTATGGTGAAGTTAAGCGCATTAAGTTATGGATGTTTCATTTATAAGCCTTTGATTCATTGCAGTGGTCAAAACTTGCAAAATAACAATAATAAGCCAACTTTGAAGCCTAGCTTAAAATAAGCATAGAGGAGCTTCAGGTTTCCGCAGTTTGTTCAATTTTCTGTTTTTATTAAATTAAATAAATTAGTGGTTTTTAAAACACGTTTTTATTGAATTGCTAAGTGCACTTTGCTAGCGAAATGCCAGAAAGCTAATTAGTGAAGGTTTGCCTGGACAAAGTCTACCCAAACTTTCCTCATTTTATAGATGTGTGTAAATATTTTGTTTCAGCATGTGTAGCTTTTTCGAGGCATTTGAAAATGCTCCAGCTTTTTCCAGAGGATTCGATAACTAAAAAATAAATAACTTTTCGATATTTTCAATTACCAACTTTTGCCGAACTACAAGCAGAATGATGAGTCCTTTGTTAAGTTAAACCATTTTTTAGTTGTTTTAACTACAAAGCCGTTCTTGAAACATTATAATCAATAACAGACATCTGATCCGCATTATGACAACGCCGTCTTCGCTTTTAGCTTTGTGGTCCCACAAAAAGCAGTCACTCACTTTTCTTTTCCCCCTTTCTAAATGCGGTTCACAAGAACCGTCAAATGCCATTTCCTACGATAATTCATATTAGGCGACACATGTGGGACTTCCCAAAATAATCGTCGATTTAATTATTAAAAGTAACTGAGCATCATGTGAGTGTTGCCTCAATAGCAACAGACCCAGATTTGATAGATGAGCGAGGTGTTTAGCGAGGCGAATTTGCCAGAATGTTATTCAATTATCCAAGTATTTTGAGGTAGTTGGCTGGCGACAGCATTACTGGCAATTTTCATCATAATATGAAATTTTAAAAAGTCTCATCAGGTCAACAGCTGCAATTTCCGCGGCGCCAAGTCTTTAGTGAATTTAGTCATTCCGTTTGCATGCAAAATATGTTTAAGGTGAACACAAGTTTTTGGGGCTTTTGTTGCTACTGTCTGGCTAATTGTTGTCTGCATAAATAGCTTTATTTGGTTCAATTGATGTCGGACTTTTATTTTTCAGTTGCACTTGTTTGAGGTCTCAATCTTTCCAAAATTTTTAACATGCGGTGTTAAGCTTGTGTTCCATTTAGCGCCTTATCCAGTGGCTTAAAAGTGAGTGCCCTAAATTAATCTATTATTGGGAAATTATGAAAATATGGCAAAACGCATGTCATTTTTTGCATTATTTGGCACCTAAATTCAGTTGTGCTAAAACTGCCACTTTTTCATTATCTACGCGCAATTAATAAATCGGACTTCCAGTTCGCCGTTAAAAGGTACGAAAACGGGCTTTGTAGTTCGAACGATCTTGAGATACGCTCAAAAAGAGAAATCAGTTTGACTTAGAGTTTCCTTGAAGTTTTCGCATTCTGTGTGAAAATTTTTACACGGGGTCTCAATCTGCTCCTTAGAAATGAGCAAAAACGTATCGCAAAACATGAAATTTGTGTGCTACTCAAATTCTGCCACTTTATTGCCTTCTTCCTCAATCGGGTTAAAATATCGGTTTTAATAAGAAAATGGGCCCTGTAGCTCAAACGGTTGTGGAAATACACTCGAAACAGAGTTTTTCGATTTCGCTATTCAAAGACAACCGCAAAAACTAAAATTTTCTCTAAGTTTGCCTTTTGCTGGAAAACCTGCCCAGCTTTTTCGGGCAAAGCTTCACTTCATAAATGTCCCGTTCAATCACTGCTCTGGCTTAATCTGTTCCCGAAGAATTAGCAAAAAAGTGACAGAAAACATAATATTTCAGCCTTACCTTGTACCTAAATGTGTGATTTTAAATTTTTTCTTTTTGGGAGAAACCTGCCAGTTTCTGGTCATTAACATTTCTCTTGTTATGGGTTTCAAATTATCTCTCTAATGATAAGAAACGGACTCAGAAGCTCAAATAGTTTCCCAAATTATTGTTAGTTTTTGAGATTAAGGTTTCTGTGAAAGCTAGCAAAATTTTTACAGCAGCGTTTTTCTTCGATCCAGAGAAAAGAAGAAAAATGAAATTCGATGAAATCATAGCATCTGCTGATTTGTTTATGTTTCGTGTAAAAACTGCCACTTTTTCTTAAATCAAGTCCCGCTTAATTCTCCATCTAGTGGTAGGAAAGCAAGTTTATTTAAATAATTACACGAATTCCCACCGCCAGTTCAAAGTAAAGAAAAATTCCTTCTGTCCTATATCTGAAAAGAAATTGTTCTCACTTTAACGGATGTTGACTTCAAAGCTGCGCTTTAAATAGAAGACATTGGCATGTTTAAAATACTTTACGAACTGGCTAAATAAAACGTTGCTCTTGATAATTCGAGAGCGTCCGATCAAATTTTTCTTTAAACAAAGTTTTAATTATACGTTGCGGCAAAAATTCAGTTTGATTATGAAAAATTGTTTAAAGGAAAATGGGAGAAAGGGGTTTTCAGCTGAGTTGCCGCCTGCAGGCAATTTTCATTCAATTTAAAAATCTTTGCGTGGGACTACTTAAGCCTTCGAATTAACAGGGTTAGAAGATTGCATTATCGCTTTTGATGCCGCTTATTACTTGAATCGAAATTTTATAATTTCCTGGTTATCAGATTTTTGAACTACATTTTCCTGCTTCGTCATAGATAAATTAAGATAATAAAATGAGTTTCGAAGAGTTTCACGAAATAAATGAAAACAAAAGCAAAATCTGCAGCCAGCCAATATTTAACTGAACAGCTGCGAAAGCTAATTAATTCACATACAATTTAAACTGATCTCGAAATAGATTTTACATATTTCAGAGACATCCAATAAAGATTTATCAAAATTATCAATTAAATCTACCTTTAGTTATGTTCACATTAATAATCGTTTGTCCTAATTATCTTCAGTAAATTAACTTGGCAAGTTTCAACCAGACTGTTTGTCGGACTTTTCTGTTGCAGGTGAAGGCTCCTGGCCCCTATCAAACTCCACTGTTCTTAGTGATTTTAAATAACTAACTAAATAATTGGATTTAACTGCTGCAGCTGAGCATAGAGTTGCTTGTTAAATCCGCAGTTCAAATAATAATACTTGGTTAAAAGTTACAGCTAAATGAGTAAATCGATTTCTTGGGGCTCCAGCTCCATTATCTCATTCCCTTCCCAATGTCCAGGAACTTCAGGTGGTTCTTCTTCGATTTCTGGGGGCGGTTCGAACCAGTCCCAATAATCTAGCTCAGGTTCTGGAATTTCCCATAAAATTCCATAAATCGGTGCTGCGTGTGTAGATGTCAAAGGTTTTTCAGTGGGAAGAGACGATTGATTCAACTCCGGATTTAGGACATCGGTATTATTATTTAGAGAGTTATCTGGAAATTGCAGTTGAAAGAAAATTTACACAAAAATAGCTACAACTTTGTTTGCGTTGTTTGTACTGTAACCGAAATTACCAATTATGAATTATTCAGGGAACAGATCTTACCTGATATGTTTGCGCTTAGACCTCTGCGATTTAAAAAGCAAATTACCACTAAAATTAGCAACAATTCCACTGGTATACCCATGTTAATCGTCCTCTAGGAGTACTTGAACGCAAATAGTTTCAACCGATAAATACAGACCTTGCCAATATTTTCCTACTATGAAATTAGCAAACTTTTAGCAATTTATCAACAACAACTTGACGGGTGATAAGCAAGAGTTGTATTATCCATATTTTTACATAATAATTAATGACTTCCACCTAACAAACCGTGTTTTATAATGAATTATTAAAGGCAGGATTAGGGTCGCTGACAAAAACTGTCCTGAATTTAACCGGGTAATTAGAATAGGGATTTAAGGCGAATATATTGGGTGTATAAGATTAATTTATTTATTAATCGTGGGTGTTTAACTTAATGCTGTTTCTTAACAAGTGCAATATCTAGACAACCAAGATGTCGCTTCCATGAAAATAAGTGTCCTTAATACAGCTAATAAGGAAAATATCAAATGCAACGTATTCCATTGCATGACGGGCTGGAATTGTGAATTTAATGATTTGTTAACTGCTAACTCTATTTTACGGTAATGTTAAGCTATTCTTAAGCGCGTCCATTACGACTAGCAACAATTCTGGTATGTGGTTCAATTTTAGAATGCGAATGGCAATGGACAATTTTAATTTATTTATAGGTTGGAACAATATGTGGGTAATGAAAACCGTTTGCCGGTGATGGTCTTGAACCATTTGAAATGCGCTTACTGATTTTCTAGCTAGATTAATAAAGACATTATTGCCGACTGTTTTAGTAAGTTAGTTAATTGTCTGCGATTTACTGTATTGTTTTGTTAAAATAAACTTGAAACTCGAATAAATTTAATCCAACTTAATTTTCAACAATTCATCGTTAGCCAGTCTAAGGTTTTTTCCTATGGTAGATTTTCCGGAGAATAATTGAGCTTTCTTAGCCACTGGACGTTTCATCGTGAGAAATCTTGGGCGCTTTTGTTCGCATTCGCAAGGAATTCACGTCCCCAAAGTCCTTTTTCGATTGCGGTTTCCATAAAATGATGTTTTTCGATAAAGAGCGCAAATCTATTTATAGGAAATTTCTGGAAAATCTCGCTTAATCATAATTTACGGGAAAAGACGCACATCCGTTTTGCAGTTGGCGAGACGACTTCACAATACGGTTCGAAACGGGAAAACAAGAAAAGAAAGAACGGAGAGGAAAACGTCAGTTATCGGGGCTCTAAATTCATTTAGAGCGGAAAACGGAAGGGGGTTTTTAAAAATAATGATGCGAAAGTCATACGAAAGCGGGCGTTTCTTTGGGCTGCGGGAAATTTCATTTTTGCGTTGATAATCCCATTCCCATCAACCTTCAATCGATTTATTCCAAGAGGAAATTGTTTTTGGTCTATTCAGTTGCCAAATTTTCAGTTTAAAACTGATTCAATTGAACTAAATGAAAATGATTAATTGATTATTAAAAAGCACTAATTGAGATCTTATCTTGGTGCCACTGGATAATCTTTTTTCTGGGCTTCAAGTGGTTCTTGACGCCAGACGGACTGCGACATACAGTAAACATCCTTAGAAGGTAATTATGGTATATGTCAAAACACTAGAAAAAAACCGAATGAAGCAATTGTTGTCGTTAATCGTTGACGAATCGCAGCAGTAAATTTATAAACAAGCCATTTAAAAATATCCAGTTAGTTATTTTGCAGTCGGATAATCCCGGAATTGTGTGCAGATCCGTTCGTAGCCTAGTTAAATTGATTTTGTTTCGATATAAATGTTTATTCGCATTTGCGTTTTATGGCAAAGGGGCGCATATTCGTTTTAAAGCGACAGTAACAAATATGTAATTTCTTGGCTCACAAATCAAAGCCAAATTGGCTAACGCTTTTAGTTCGAAGCGCAATTGTGTGTTTATTTGTGTGTTTAAATTAAATACCAAATAATTTACACTTTGGGGATACTGTAATGAGTAGTCCCTTCACAGTGGTGTTGGATTTAGACCAAGATCTACTTAATTCTGTCTTCATTGTCGGTCAGCGTTTTACCGTCTTACATTGTGATTTAAAATTAAACGAATATTTCCTTAATCTTCTTGCTTAATCGATCCAACTTCCTACTGTTTACACAGCTCTAATGAAAAAAACTGACTGTAAACCTTGCAGATCCATCACTCCTGATCGAATCATTGCCCTATTTACATGTTTGATAAAAGAAAAACTTAAAAGAACTCGATTTATTGGGATGTCGAATCTTGAATGAGACCACTGACATTCAGTTGTAAATATTGAATCGCTTTTGTAGCACTGCGAAATGTATACAGACTTTGATCTTGGTTGCGGCAAATTGAATTTAATGTATTGTTAATTGTTTGGCGAATGTATTTATCCTCTGAAATAATAAACCATTTAGCGCAAACCAACTTTCCTGTTAATAATGTTGATGAATGCACCGTTTCGACTCATGCGAATGGCTTCTACGGCTTGCTAATTGGATTTTGAAACGGATTAATTGGCTTTTTGGGGTGGATAGGTATTAATAATGTGGTCAGATCACTGAAACAACCACAAATTGGGAAAATTATAAAAAATATGGATTTTATCGATATAAACGATATATTGAATTTTTGACTCCCAGTTTTCACCTGAAGTATTGTTGGTTGGGAAAAATCAACAGTTTGTTCACTTGTCAGGATTTCACACTGATAGTAACTACTGTTGTGGATTCTAAGAGAGGTTATTAACTCCCCAGATAAATTTAAAAATACTTATCTCTAAATTTTATCACGCGTTGTAATAAGATCGGAATTTCACGTCGATTGTAAATATTGTTGTGGATTTGAACAGATACTTTCAATTATTTTTTATTTTTTATTATTTTATTATTTTTATCATTTTCATTTTAATCAAATCCCTTAAAATTAACAAGGATTTACAGTTGTTGTATATTTTGCAAATTTAATTGTTCGTTATCGTAAAATCCAGATCATTTTATACCCAACAGTGACAATTTTCCAGTTTTAAAAACCGGGCTGAATGTTTAATAAAATACTTCCAGTTAGCGAAGTTTCAACAGGAAACAGTTACTTTCCATTCTATTGATAATAAAATCATCTCACTCAACATTTGATACCAATCGAGCTTTATTTATTGATTCCGGAGGTGCTAAAGTGATCTCAAACAAATAGTTGTAAACTTTACGACCCAAAACACACGCCTCTAAGCTCAGCTGGGCAATAAATCAATTATTTGCGCGCAATGTTTAATTTTCCACTGTAATCGAGCAAAGGATTCGAAACAATAAACTCTCCCGTTTTAGCGTTGTAGTGTTGCTTATTGATTTTGCCCAACAATCAATTGGATTTTCCGTAATTTTCTGTAATTTTTCCGTATCCGTTTAGTATTCCGAACGGAGGGCTTCGGCTCGAATTTTACAGTTAATAATAGGATCGACGTGCAAAAGAGGCAATATTTATGCCTGCTGTAATTCCTGTGTTTAATAATCAGGCGCCAGTCGCAGGTGGTTATCACTAAAAAGATCTCGACAAAAAAAATTAGGCGTGAACATACGTTCGAAAAATGTCCTCAAATTGGACGCTTCTTTATTTTTAGATGCACCAGAGGTTATTGTTTTGGTTTCGTGAAACTATTTTTGAAAGTAGTTTATAAATAGTGATCAAGTAGAGATGTTTCGAATGATATAATAAAGTGCGCACTTTTCGGACACCAACCCGGAAGAATAAACATCTTTTTTCGTAAACATCGCTAAAGTGCAGAGGACATTATTTTAAAAATGGTTAAACATTTTTAATTGACTTTCTCAATTAAATTTATTTGTTTTTTTTTATGTTTTCTGCCATTGGATGCGTTGACTGTTAAAAGCAGATGGAACTAAGAAAAACTACTTTTACTTTAAATTGCAAATGATGCGTTTCATATTTTCATAAAATTTACAAATTGAGTAGTCGAAAGATGAAATTTCACACCAAACGAGTAAATGAGAGAATGCAGCCGCTTAATGTAAAATCATTAAATATCTGTTTTCAATGGGCGAAAAGCAATGACTGCTAATCATGAACCGAGTTCTAAATCAAATAATTTAAAATAATTTAAATTCTCATTTCAACTATACATCAATAAATACACAATTAAACTCAATGGAGGAAACCGAATTTTTCGTCTTACGTCATATGGAAAACAATCATTGTTGCTCAATAATAATTGCTGTTATGAAAACAAAGTCGATTAATTATGGGAAAGAATTATAATTTTATTTATAGGAAGGCTTGTCGAAAAAGTAGCAATTTCCATCAAACAATCATTAGCTTAATGGGTATTCAATATTGCGGATCATTTGTCTTGGGTTGGCAATTTAATAACGTTCGAAACGAAGGAAAAACTTGCGCTTCAATGGTGAATCCCACCGAGGCCAGCTAAACATTTTTCCAAAATTTCAATTTTCCAGCTGAATATATTTATATGTGGGAGAACTATTATGATAGCAGGCGGCTTTCAAAGCGAAATCAAATTTTTAGTCATTCAGTAATTTTAGTTTTGTTAAACGATTGAGATAACACGAGGTCAGTGTAGGTGTTAAAAGCCGAAATTGACGATCTATATTTATAATTGCCAATAACCTACTTAATATTTTTTATTTTTGGGTTGTAGCAACCATTGAGCGGCTGAAAATAAGCAATTTTCAAAGAAGTGCAGCGGATTTTGCCCCAAAAAGATATATGAAATAAAGTGATAGATTAATGAAGTTTTAGTTAGAAACGTTTGTTAAGTTGGGGCTTTGAAATCTAGGAAAATCCATATAACCAACTTCTCAAACTCTCAACTTTGGAAAAATTTGTTGTCAGGACGCAACTTGTATGGTGTATTTACAGTTTGGTTAAAAATGAATCCACTATGGACCGAAATAATTTTCCCATTACATCCACTATTAGCCCATTTGCAATACTTTTACAAACTAATTTATCAAAACCTGTTTTTCCAAAAACAAACTTACAGTTTTTTTGGAATTCCTTCGAATCCAACGAGAATCCGACTTCGGCCAATTTCACAAACACGAGTAAAAGTACGACATCACAACGAGACCGTATTTCCATGTTGCGTTCACCTAATCGGAAAATTATCCCATTTCCGAGAATTCCAGATGATAATTCCGATTCCAAATAAGCGCACCTGCGACTCTTAATCCAATCATAATTCGGGTTTTGGTCGAAACGACTCTGGTAGCGCGCATTTAAAACTGAAGCCAATGCTGACTTACATCAAGATCGTTTTACTCCTACTCTCAGTAGCAAGTCGGTTCTTTGGATATTTTTGGACTTGGACTTGGGTGCGTTTTTTTTCTTTCATTTCTTGTTTCTTGGATATTATTCTAGGAGCAATAAAATCAGCCCAGATGTCGTAGTTGCGGCGATATTCTCGGTTTGTTGACTTTGCGACAGAAAAAACAACACACACAACTTGTAAAATTTCTCAATAGTTGAACCGTTTCGAATTTTAAAACTGCGAACTTCCGGCAGATTTTTTGAGTCAAAGCACAAAATTTCGATACTTTACCAGCACCAAACAACCTGTTAATTGGGATGGTTCCCGCACTAAATGGGCAGAAATTGTGGTTTTATGGTACAAAACGAGCTTAATCAAACGCGTTTAAATTTCACGAATTAAAATTGAAGCACAGTTCCAGGAAACAAATGACTAGTCGTTCTCCTCGTAAAAGAAATCCGTTTTCGCGAAACGGCGTTAATGAGTAACTAGCTCAATTTAGTTCTCCTTAGTTTAATTGTCGTTAATTGATGGCGCCAACGTAAGTTTACTTACATTTGTCACAAGGAATCATTATTCAACACGAAATTTGAATAACTGAGGTGATTATTCAGAAGAGAATGTTTGATTGGAATATTTATTTCACTGAAGCAATTAACACAAGCAACGGGTTGGACGCCGATTTCAATTCAAATATTCAGCATTTATTGATATTGAACCGGAGTGGGTATTTTGCTTAAAATGGCAGAAGTTGTGCTGCTTTCGAACTATTCAATTATAAAGGCGTAATTAACCATCGTTAAGATCCTCGTATTTTCTTCGATTCTACTTTGTCTTATTTTCCAGTTAACTTCAAAGACCAACCGCAATTTCTGCTTCGACAACTCACCGTCACCATTAGCATGCCAGAGGAGAGCAACATCTAGTTTTCCAACTGGTAAGTGCACATTTCAATTAGAAACCTCTTAATATAAAACGGAAAATAACTCAGATACTGCTCGAAATAACTAAGACAGAAACGTTCTGTTAGCTCGAGTGTTTGCTGCATAATCAGTAAACATAACAACTCGTCTTGCTCCCTCGCAAAATCGTGTCAGAAGAGGATTTGGCCCTCTCGGCAAACTTAGGTCCTTTGTTAAAAACTTTCCACTTAACCCACATTTAAAGTTGGCATCGTAAAATTAAAAAGGCTAAATAAAGTTTCGCTTCCCTTTTTATATTTCAGCTGGTAAAATATGTGGTCGTAAATTATCAAAGCCATAATGTACAAAGGTTCGCTAACTTTTCTTTTCTAAAGGAAATTTTCTAAGAACGTGAATGATGAAAGTTTCATGTTTCGGCATACATTTTCCCGACATGTCTATATTTTATTTTAAGGACGAATTATGAGGCAAATAAGACAAGTTATCTCGGGCATGAATAAGTTAATATCTAAAGGGTTTTCGTTGCCAGATTAGGGAATTCTACTTTGTTCGAGCAAAACCGACTCAAACTCATTGAAGAACTTATTGAACTTCATAAAAAAATGCCGTTGACTTTGGTGAATCCGCCGTCATTTATTTGGGGAAATAAACAAGTTGTCACCCTCATCCTGTGCTCTTGAGTGAAGCGCTTTGTCAAGTAACACAATAAATATGGGTGTAATTTATTATTGTTCTCATTATTCATCGCATATGCTTTATGAGCATGTTAATTCGCACTAGATTTCAATATAAATTTAATAGTTGAATTAGTAAACATTAGGGCATATGTTTAGTGTGGCTTTTTTCAAAGCCAGACCCGGAGTTCTACTGGACGTTTGCAAATACTGCCAATGCAAAAATATTATTTTAAGCAACTAGTTGTATAGTCTGAAGTTTTATCAGTTGCAGTTAGTGTTGAGAATTCCGTGAAACACTTTCCCATAACATTGAAAAAGCGCAAGGAAGAAAAAACGGTCCCATTTTCGACACTATTACGGCCCATGAAATGCGATATTTCTTTATGGGAAACTATAAGCACGCTGAGATTTATTTCGAGAGAGCACACGTTTTTTGCTGGAATTCGGATGCCAAATGTTGAGGAATAAAATAAAGTCGCATGTCATTTTATAACGTCGTAAAATTCATTTTATACGCTTACTGTATGGAAAAGCTGCCAATTTAATGACGGAATTTAAAGCAAAATATTTCGCCAAACATGATCATGCGATGGAAAAGGTAGGTATAAATTTTCCGAACGGTTCACGCGCTGAAAGCAGACGAATGCATTTGATTCTGCAGCTTTTGATTAGGGCCTTGGCAAGCTATTTGAAGTTGGAAGTAATTTTGTACCGTGATTCTGGAAGCCCACAGAAACCGCCATTCCTGTACTATTTGGAAAATTATTTCGGGATGAGAGCGATAGAAAGGCCTGTGTCACTTTAAATACTCCCGACCGAAATAGAAGGAGCAGCTGACTCTTTCAAAACATACAAAAAGACCGATTTGTTTTCTTTTTCGTGGGGTACTACATAAAAGGCAACATTATATTACCCCGAATTGATTTGCTTGTTTTTTCTGTCTTTTTCGGGAAATTAGAATTTTGGCAGGTCAGATTGTTTCACCTTAACAATATCAATGGATTGTGATGATCAAATGGATTTTCCTTTTTAGTGACTGAAGATGATAATTTGAGAGCTAAAGTTCCGAGGTGCAAATGGATCTCTAGCTTAAAAGCTTCTAAAATAAAATATGGTGCTAATTATTTTTAAGTAGATAAGATTTGGTGAGCATGAAGCAAAATTTCCTGAGCAAGTTCATAGGAGCAATTCAATTTACTTGGAGTTGGCACAGATGTGTAATGAAATTTTCCCAAGAAAAACAACGAAAAAAACAGTTGAGTTCACCCGACAAATATTTATCGTAGGGGAACACATTTAAAACCGAACATTTTCTCCACGTTCTCGTGTAATACCAGAGCATAAATCATGGCTCGGCGAGATAATACTCGAGAATTCACCCTTCTACCACGTAAAGCTTTATCACTCATAATTTATTAATTTTAGAGCGGCAATAAATCCGCGAAAAAGCTCGATGGGATGAAGAATCAGTCGCAAAATGAACTTATTCATTATAAAATAATTGAAGTGCCAAAGTTTTTGTGTTGGCTCTGATGGCCGGGCGCGATAGAACACGTCACCGCAGACTTTGGTTTATCGGAAATTTCCTTTTTTCCTAGGTGTTGATAAAAGGTTTTCCTTTGATGTTGGAATTGGTTTCGAATAAAACACCGAGAAGGGTCTTGAGTTAATTAGAAGCAGATGGAGAAGGGCGGTTAGTGTGATTTATTCTTGCAATTTCTGTTGTTCAATCAAGTGTCGGAATTTTCTCTTCAGCTCTCACTGTTTGACCTCTCTTAATATCTTGGTTTTTACTGGCTGTATTATCACTCCTTTCAGAGATTAGTTTGTTTGAAACCAACTCACTTTTTACTTAATTAAATGTGTTTTTGGTGTTTTTGCCAACCTCATTAATGTAGCAACTGAAAGTCTCGAAACGGAGGGGATTGTAAATTAAAATAGCGCTTTTCTATTTACAGATCCAATTTTGCCCTACCATTAAAAATCCTCCGGTTTTCTATTTGGGCAACGTATTTTAATGAGTTTCAATGCCAGTTCTAAAGGAATGCTCAAGCTCAAAAGCTACTATTTTATATTCAGCAAACTTGATGTTGAAATTTTTTTTGCCAACAAAATAATTACAAAATTCATTGTTTCATTAGCGACGATAATAAATCGAAAAATGTCCCATAATTTTTATTTGTCCTCAATAAATTTGCAAGTGTCGTTTCTTCAATGCTTTTTCGCTTTGGCATAATTTGTCGGGAGTTTATGCTTGAATTGGACATTGTGCATGAATAGCCAGCGAACAGTGCAACAGTTGCTCGAAAAGTTTAATGCTTTTGTTAGTTTACTTTTGAACTTAAATGAGTTCGCCAGTTTCCAACAGTTCTTGTAAATTATATTGTTGAATTTCCAGTTAGCTGCTTACAAAATTAAAATAATGTGTTTTTATTTAAAATTTGTTTTGATTTGCTAAGTTGCCAGAATCTCATTCGATTTAAGTACAATGCTTAATGTTGTACAAGTGCTTAATGTTGCACCTTCCGTATTGGAAAATTGATTTTAAGCTGATCGAAAATTTCCACTCCAAAAACTACCCCATACACTTTTTTCTCCTGGATTCATTATTAGTGTTTCATAACAATATTGCGGACCAATGGGCATATGAATGATTTAGATGTAAAATCGTAGTAGATGTTTAATTAATTAAGCAGAAGATTAGTAGCGATGTAAATGCAAATTCTAAATCCAGGATTCACGCGTACCAAAACGAGCCCTTTTGTCGGATTCCCATAAATTTTAACCGTGTTTGCGGTGCAATTAGAGTTACGTATGTTTTAGTTATTCTGAACGGAGTATTAGCAAAAGCAGCTGCTCTAAATTGCAAAATTGAGGCTTACCACCAGTTAAAACTGAAATTTTTCCATTCAGCTCTCATCTTTTGTTTTATTGCTGATTTCGTAGCTATTGAAATAGAATGGGAGCGAGAGAGCAAGTGGTTTCGAGCCAATTACTGAATAATCAAGATGCTGCTTATCGAAGTGTATGGAGGATACAATTCAATAAGTAATTAACTCGTTTCAACGAAGATAGTTAATTATTTGCTAAGTAATTGGCCTATACTGATTTCAGCTTAATTAATAGAGCTAATTGCTAGCAGTTTTCAATTAGCTGACTTTTATTTTTTATTAATCAGGATTTTCAAGCGGCATTGCTTGTTAAGTAGGTTATCTGACATCAAACTGTAATTGTTTAAATGCCTTCAAGCTTCCTGTAACGCCTAATACTTTAGAGGCGGTTAAGTTAAAGAGCATGGTAATTGATGACCGTCACGAATCCCACAAGACCACGCATTTTCCGCTGCCTATTAAACTATCCGGAAGCAAACACGCATGAGGAAGCGGATTAAAGGGACATTTTAAAAATAAATCGAATATTTCTCGTTTTTCGAACGGGTGTAAAAACGTAATAAGGTTTTTTCGAGATGTGCGAGTTTCGGGGCAAAAGTCCCGCGGACACGTGTTGTGCCTGATAATAGCTATTAAAATCAGGCATTCAAGCGAAATTTAGCTTTAGTTAGTAAAAAAAAACATTGTATCTATCATACGTGATGCCTGATACTTAATTTCTTACAAATTATATTAAGTAAATAAATGAAATACATTTGTTTATCAAGTTAACTCGTAGCTGCAACTGAAGAATTAGAGCTTCTGCTGGAAAATGGCTCACAGGAACATTCCTTAAATTGGAAAAGACCTTAATAAAATCCAATGCGGTTTGTAACGAAGATTACTTGCTGCAGATGCAGTTCATTTTGCAAATTTATCTATGGAGAGTTAAATTGAAACCAGTTTGACGATAACTCTCTTCCAACTTTTCTCTGGTTGTGTTTGTCTTGCGAAGAAGTTATGACATGTGCGCCGCAAAACAAGCTCAGCAATAAAACACGAGAGTAATTCGGGCTCAGATATACCTTTATCCTTTTAGAACCATTTTGGAAATTGGTCTGGAATCCCCGAATTTATTTTGTCAGACTTGCACACACACACACGGGGCGATATTAATGACAAATGAGTGATCTGTTAAAAAGTTTTCCGATCTCGACTGCCAACTGGACGATTTACGTGAAAGGGAAACGGTAAATTTGGGACGAATCCGCTCTTTTTCAATAAAGTGTAAACGCTACTTCCAGCAGGCCAAACTTTCGCGAAATATTTCATTGAGCGTGAAAGATTTGCGGTTCGGATGCGGTTTTTCTTTTTGCTCCATATAATTATGAGAATGGCACTGAATGAATGAATCAACGAATTCAGTCTAGAGTTTAATTTTAACTTTAAGAGTAATTGCCAAAGTTTGCCCTGTCTGTTGTAGTCCAAAGCAGAAAGAATGTCTATAGAAATGAACGAACAAATCCACTGCTCGAACAAACTTTTAACACTCGAATTGCTGAATTTAATTTATTCTTGTGTATGAAGTTTCCACTAGTTATCTTGTCTATACTTGAATTGCCTTCTACATCTAGTTAAGTGTTGTATGTGTCTTCAGCTTCAAACTGATAAATACATCATTTTCCTGAAGAGAGTTTCCTGAGTTTTCTTTCTATTCAGTGTTTTTATGGTAGAGATCAGTGAAATAATTACTATGTGTTTCTCCACCTTAACTGGTTGAACTAATAAGACCCTGTTATGTATGCGCTTTGAAGGCGTAGCAGATAAATGAGCAAAACCTGAATCATTCACTGTCAAAGTGAATTCTATTTTAAGTAGGTGGATGGGTTCGTTAAGGCCCATAATAGAAGCTCTGCCGTTAAGCAAGTTTCGGCATTTTTACTGCTGGAATCCAGACAATCGTCCAAATAAAGCGCGAACAAAACAAACTTACGGTCGATAGAACCCTAAATAAATTTGCCAGCTTGAACACAGCCAATTTAGGAAATCATTAATGAGTAAAAAGTCTGTGAAACCTTGTTTTGAGGGCTTGAGTCAGTTTCCAACTCCTGGGTGGAGTGATGAAAATATATGTTTTCACACCGAAAGACCTTCGCACGAAAACTTCCATTGTTTACCTCATTCTGCGTATAGGCATTTTCTGGATTGTTTCGTTGTTTAATCAGATGTTCACTAACAGTCGCCGATAATATAATTTGTATGAAATATTCTTTATCTAATAGCATTTTGCCATGCACTTGAAGATAAGGATGTACTATTTGAAGTACTTTCTTAGTGAAATCCTGAGTCTTTAAGTACTTTCAGCAACAAACGTTTTCCTCCATTCCAGTAAAATGTCGAAACCAATTAATTTCGTATTCGCTCTTTTACTTTGTGCTTTATCAGTGCGTTGTTCTGGACTTACCAGAATTGGAGGCAGCAAATACTACGTTTCAAGCGATGAGGTAAGCTGTAATTTATTGCGGATTGATCTTGAAGCATCGAGGCGAAAATACTTTAGCACACATACGTAGAAGCCGACCTGGCCTGCCAGATGGAGGATAACATGAAGTTGGCCGCATTTGAAACCGAAGAAGAATATTTGCAGTTTAATGAAACCATGAACAATTGGGGAATCAGCAATACCGGTAAGGCACAAGATTTACAATTAAAGGTTTTATTTTGGCGCTGTAGGATATCAGAAGGGAGCGGTGTTGATAAGGGGACAATCCTCTTTGTAGAAAGCTATTGGTTGGGTGGTTTAAGACTAAAAAATGGACTTTGGTACTGGACCTCCAGCAAAAAAAGGTTCGACTACTCAACCTGGAGCAGCAATGAACCGAACTGTGGGTCCATAGTAGTATGTTGCCTGCTTATGGGTAAATCTACCACAGAAGCCAGAAACTGGCAAGCTGCTAACTGTTGCACTGAACATCTGTACATCTGTGAGGTTTAATTCAAAATATACATTCAATATATTTGCTCTTGTAGATAAACTCCCCTTTCATTTTTAAAACAAAAAAAAACTTGCTAAAACTTCCGTATTCAGTTTTCAGGCTCAAGCGAGGAAAATGCACGGTTTAAACCCAAATTCAATTTTCGCAACAATCAATCATACAGTGGCTAAAAGGTCGCATGCACTTTCAGTAACAGATTTTTAGTCCCCGTCGATTGTAGTTTAGTTTGAAATATCATTAAAAAGGAAAAAAATCAGTACCTGTCTTTACAAACGGGAAATATTAGCGCCGAAATTGGAAACGTTTGCCCGATTACTGAACGTGGATTGATGGGGTTTTAATGTGAGACTTTCAGCTAAGCAGGTGAAATGTTCGATATATTAAAGAAAAATCAATTAATTTTCGTCCTGGAGAACTGACAATCAACTCTGGTCGGCATTTTTTCGCCACTGTAAATTTAATAACAAAAAAATGACAAAACGTGAATGTGCGTTCTTTGAAATCTGTTGAAGTAATTTTTTTTGTGTTTTATGAGAATGAAACGCGATACACCAAAAAGCCACATAAAAAGTGGGCGCCTCCCATGTCGCTTTTTCGTGCCGAAAAGATGCATGTGAATGTGATTAATTAGTCAGAGTTGAAACAATTATGGTTTCTCTGAAAAACTGTAAAATGCCTTTGTTCGGATGTGCCGGATATGATGAATTTGTGCCTAAAAGGGCTTTGTTTGAAATTGAATTCAAGTTCGAATTAATAGAGTCAGTAACTGGGGTTGGGCAGTAAACAGTAAACTTCAAAGTTCTCTGCAGCAGGACAGAAGGTTTTGGCTCACGGTGAAAACATATGCAGCTGGATGAAATATTCAAGTTAAACGTGTGAGGATTCAGTGAATGAATAGTGAACGAACGTGTGCAAAAGGATATTAAAAATGTCAATTAAATCGTAAAGTGGAAAACCAGTGCAAAACAATGAATAAGAGGAAAAGGCAACTAAATAATTCGCAGCAAAGTTATGAGCAATTGAAAATTAGCTTTAAACTGCAGCAATGACCGAGAACGCCATTTTCATTAATGAAATTTGGTTGCCTCAGTTTAAGCAAAGTAAGCTTGTAAAGCGAACCACAAACTCTTCTTTAGTTAGTGATTGCTAGACGTTTTGAATCATATTTACCTTTAAATGTCTCAATTAATGTTTAACATAGAACCCGTTGCGCCACCTGGAAAACAAAGTCTGCCACAAAGTGCTCGCCATATTGATCCAGATTTAGTCCATGTTCAGTGTCTGTATAGAAGTCTTATCCTTCATGATGTTTAGGTCAGAGAAAACTGTTTTATGCCTTGGTTCGGTTTCTAGCTCGGCAGCCTTGCACAAAATCGATCAATGCTTCTTCCATCAATAATTAGTAGCGATATGCTATGTTTTCTCCAATATTCTAATCGATTTAACCTGGCGTTTTGTTGAAGACCTGAGGAAAGTTGGACACACCACATTGACCAGAAAAATTATATTGGTTATATGTTCCATACTTTAGATACTATGAACAAGATCGATAAATCTCAAAAAACACCTAATATACAATCGTAGAATGCAACAAGTTTTAATGTTTCAATTCTAAAATTAAATTTTCATTCTTTCTTTCGAAAAGCGTGTAGGATACGAGTTTTTTTGTTGAGCGTTATTCAATGTCTTACATGTATAACGTGGAAAGTTTGTTAGAGATTATCTGTTCTTTCAATTTCATGATACGATTTTGTATTCCTTAAAAATAATTTTCATTATCTAATAGTTTTGCTATTAACATCCTATATAAAATGTTGAAATTTCTCATTCAGGTGATCTATTCTTGCGACTTGAGTATGTGCTGTTGGCAGTTTTTCTTTGGGTTTCCTAATGCCGTTTTGAATGTTGTTTGTTTCTGTTTTTTATGTTTGTCTCGTCCTGCTGAACTTCTTTATTGTCAATTTTTTGCGAGTTTGTTCTGGCTCTAACTTGATCGTCATCTTGTTTTTATTGCTTCAACACTATTGATAGGAATCTTACTATCCAATATTGTTGACATATCGCAAATTTTTAAAAAAATTCTCAATATTCTATTGCTTACAAACCAAAATATATTTTCTCGCTCTGCTATAACGCATCATTTGCATCTGTTTGATTTATGAGTTTTTTCGCTGTTGTATTTCTGTTGTGTTTGCTACATTCAGCTCTATTGATTTTGCTCGTTGCTGATTTTTGTGAATTCGTGTTTATTAGGCATTCTTCCGACCTATTTGATTTGCTTCTTTCTGTTTGAGTATTTTCAGTATTATTGTCTTCATGTTTTTCATTAAATGCTGTCGATTTTATTCAATTGTGTTTGGGTAAGTATAAACCATTAAAAAAAGGCTAGAAAAGTTCCTTAAACAAGTTACATAGCCATAACAACTGACTCTGCAACCAGAGTACCGAGAAGACACCAGGCATCAGCAGAATACCAAGAAGACACCAGGCATCAGCATTTGACGTGTCAGCAGTTGCGTTTACTTCATTTGGTTGTTATACATAATTCATTCATTCTTTGTAACCACCTTGTGGAATTAAGTAGTAAGCTTATTCGCTGTTAAAATTAAATAAAGCTTTTTAAAAACGGTTTCGTTAAATAAAGTTTTATAATTAACATCCCAAGTTATCATTCACCAAGTTGTATAAAAAATAAAACTGTATCAATTTTTCTGCGCATTAACTTGACTAATGATTATTTGAATTCGACAGAAAAATTACTTTTAACTACGAATTTACTGTTCATGAATCAAAATTCAGAGGTTATTGAATGTTTTAATTTTTTAACTTTACAGTATGGATAGCAGGAATATTGCGTATCGATCTGAATATTCTCCTTCAGCATAATGTGCGTACTCCAAAAAAACCAACGAATTTTATATTTAAAGCAGCATCCGTTTAACTGTTAGAAATATTATTTCAGAGAACTAAAACATTTTTTGATGTATGTTGTATTTGAAAGTTAATAGATTTATTCTTCGGACTTTTTGCATGAAATGCGTGATTCGGAACTGTGTTGAATCAAATTTAAAATTTTCGGGCAAGTTTGAGCCTGATGCTGTACAACTAAAAGAACTAAAACAATCAAGCAGAACTTTGAAGACAGGTGAATTTATTATGTTAAAAAATGCTTATACCATTTGATGCCATTTGAAAAAATGCCGACTAGGAATCGTCCCGTGTTGCTCTAAAATGTTGCGTTTACTTACTTACACTTACTCCGGATAAAACTCACTCTCCGGATAAAACTAATTTCCATTTCTGGAGTTTGCATTTTATTGAGCAACTCCTTAAGCTACTTACCCAAAAGTTTCCATAAAATTTCACAGACGTAACCAAATGACACCACTATATAATACTCTTAACACTTTATTATTAGATTATTAGGAGTATACATAATTTGGTTTATTTTTTTATATAAAGAGACAGAATAAACTTTCAAACGTCCAGAAAAAAGATATGATTCCGTTACCATTAATAATATATATAAATTCAATTAAATTCATTAGTCTTCGACATCGAAGTACATCATATCACATTTATGACAAACGAACTTGGTGTGTATGTACAGTTTGTACAAGTTTGTTGTGCCAACACATACTTTCCAGATTTGTACAGCAACTCCACCATTTTGTTCACCATATCGTACAAAACTTTATTTAAAATAGTTAGCTATTTACAAGATATTTTCAATTATTGTTTCTGCTTCAATGGGCTCCACTCTAGGACTTTACAATTAGGTATCTAAGGAAAGGGGTTACTTTTGCGTAGGAAGGAGGATAGGGGTCTTGAGAATAGGCCGCGAATTAATTCTGATATCGATTTGAGGATATTTTGGGATGTCAAAAATCACTTTGATGATCAATTTGTTATCTCTTTGTTGCGTGTGGTAGTCACTTTGCCATTTGAGTACGCGATTAGGAAAATGAAAAATTGAAGCAATGTACACTATTCCTAATTATTTACAGTAGGTATGACCAAGATTATCATTGACGAGCACAACTAGGATTAAACTGTGAATAACAAAATAGTTTGACAAAAGTGTACTTATCATTTAATTGCACTATTATTGACCTACATTTGAATTGGTAACAATGATACAAACAAAATATAGCAAGAATCAGGAAAATAGGATTTTTGCACAACTCAAACGGCGTTTTTCCTGATTCCCGCATGACATCGATATGTAAAAATTGCACTTTTACAATAACTCAATTCGACACTGATACGCATCATCATCATAACATCGACCAATACAATCATCTTTTGGTCCCATACAAAAATAGAAAAGTTTATAATAAATACTGATACAATTATTTAATTATTGTTAGTTAAAGCTATACGAATGAAAATAAATATTCTAAACCACTAACAAGAGAGTTTTTTGGTTTTACGTTGCCTAAGGATGAGATAATTGCAGGATGGTTAATGTTTCTTGGGAATTCAGTCTTGTCTGTGACCAAAACCAAAACCCAACCATTTTGCAATTATTCGAGATTGGTCAAGAAACTGAACATATTAAGAATGAGATAGTTAATGATTCGGTTATTGATATCAAATAAGTTAAGTGTCTATAAAAAAATAAGAAATTTGTTTGATCTGTATATTCTATCTGGAACTGGAAAACTTAACAAACCTTTCTTAACTCTTCATCTTTAGCATTTGCTCTGTTTAGCGCAGAAAAAGGTGCACATTCAGCCTAGACATAATTTTCGGACCTCGTTCATTATCATGAATGGAAAGTCAAGGAAATCTAACTGAGTCGTTGCCAGTTCAAACAGTTGGATTCCTGCAAATCTTTTTAAGTTCAATTGAAATTTTGTTCGCTAAAGTTGAGGATGCTCGAAACTTGTCGTCGCATTTTAGGCAAACAAATTAAAACTTGGGAATTCGAATTGCACTTTATTGCCAATTCAATGTCCGCTTTCGAAGTGGTTTTCGTCTAATTTTTACCCCCCGGCACGATTTCGAATGCTTCAGCAAATACTGCACCTACTTCCACTACATAAACATTCTCATAAAACACATCTATAATTATTTACACTCTGGTCCTTACTTAAACACAACTTTCCTGCTGGCAGCCCATTAAAGGTGTCCGCACTGTTACCACCTCCCTATGGTACAGCCCCTGTTTGGAGGTGGGAAACATGGCCGTTACAGGTGAAATAATGGGTGAAGTCCTGCTGATGGGAACAGGAGGAGGTGGCCTTCGCCCGTGGTCAATTTTCGTGTAGATTGTCGATTCGTCCCCTTTCCTCAAGGTGGCGTATTGTTGAGCTGCTGATAATTGTTGACCACCATTCTTGATAGCATCTAGAGATTTTGGCCGTGCCAGCTGTAGCTCCGCGTAAACCACCTCATTGCTAGTTGATGTCTGGAAATTTTTGAATGTCTGCATATTTAACAGGATAAGAGTTTTGATGTATTTGACCAGTAAACACGTTAAGAAAGTAATATTATTGTTGGAGAAAATTACTATCCATTGCTGGTCCATTTATTAAACACGTTCCTTCGATGTAGTTTTACTAGTTCAAAATGGTCACGCATAAATTAGGGGGTTCAGAGTTTCGATGTTTAATGTTGTTTGTTTTCGCCCCGAAAGCTTTGATGTGTGACATGGAAAATTGGAACTCGCACGAGCAAACAAATGATTGCCCTGCTTAATTATTAACGAAAGTATTAGCGATGCGATTTAGTTTCTGTTAATGTACTCGAATTAACGGAAATGCCATGTTGTTTCAAACCCATGTACTTTTTGCTGTTTCCAAATAGCTGAAAAAATTAGAATGCTAACGTGGAATTATTATGAATATTTTATACTGAAGTGTGAATTGGTCATTAGGGCTACCCGGTTTAGACATTTCCCCAAGAACGAGGAAAATTTTGCATTTTATTCTTTAAGCACTTGAGAGCTTCATGTTCCTGTTGGAGCTTAAAAATCGAAAGAAAACATTCTACTATAATAATGTTAAGCAAGTTTCGTCAATTTTATAGTTTCAGCAAGCTTGAGTAATTTCGGTAAATTTGAGCGCGTTTGGGTTAGTGTGGATTCATTTTGGCAGACTCTTAAGCTTTACATTCAAAACGCGGCAAATCCTGTTGTTCCATCCAATACAAATCTGATTTTTATAAAAGCAAGAAATTTACTTTCGTAATTAGTTAGTATTTGATGCAAGTTAAAAAGCGCCAGAAAATATTCAATTCAAAGCCAAGCGAGCGCGAATTTCAAGTGTAAAAATTACTCGATAATGAGCAGAATTCAATATTTATTAATAGAGAGAAAAATGGAATTTTTCACAAATCTACTTTCACAGTCTCTTTTCGCATTGAATCGCACCAGATTTATTATCAGTGGTTTGTCCAGATTACACTTTTCCTTACACCAAAAGAATAAATTTGCATTTGCTTCAAGAAAAAAAATTGTCATCAGTTTAGTTGAAGTATCCAGGTCGGTCGCGTTGGCAAAATAAGGACATCCTATATGCAAATTTCGTCTCCCTCGAGCGTCTATGTTACACTATGAATATTGAATAGTCCTGGTTAGTTCACATGCCATGTATCCGCTGAATTTTTACTAAAAATGTATGCAGAGGCGAGACCCGGCAAGTTTCTTCTTTTTAAGCCGGCGCAGGAAAAATGGAACAGAACATGGCCCGAAATCTAATAACTCGCATCTCGGTCTAGAAATTGACATTTACGGCTGATGGAATGGGGAACTGTGACATAAAGTTGCGGACAATTTTTAATGCCTATGCGATTTTCTCATGGTTATGCAAGCGAGTGCCCAAAATTGTATACAGTGCACGATGTTCGCACGAGTACTTACAAGATCTAATATATATCTGAGAGGACCCTGTATGTGCCCTAGAATAAACACAGATCATAACTCAACCACCTTAGAACTAATATCATAAAACAGAATGAAAATTGAAGATAAAAGAGTGCAGAGGTTGGAAGATTTTTCAGGCCATACATAAGTCTAATGATTTAAAAATTTCTCGGTTTGTACAACCAATTTATAATTGCAGATGTAGAAAAGCCCACTAAGCAACAAGCAGAACCTAATGTTTATCGAATCTATTGAAAAAACTAATTACATAAAATATTAAAGTGCAAATAGCGTCGACCAACATTTTCTAAACGCGCTTAAATAAAACTGAAACGCAACCCAGAACCGAAATAAAATTTTTAATTTCGTTCGAATATTTAAACGGGTTCAAAGCTGTAAATAATAAAGCGGGCATATTTAATTAAATAAAGGATCACGTACGTGGAAATTGCCGGCCACATTGTTTCAGATTTTGCGACTATGAAAACTTTTTAGTTTTATGTCCCGAATAAATTTCATTTTTTACTGTTCGTGATAAGAAGTCAGCAAATAGATTTCACCCATTGAAGAACTTGTAGAATTTGGCTTTTGCCCGCGATTCAGTAAAAATACGTTTAGTGGTAAAACAGAAAATAAAAGCAGAAGAGCAATGTGTCTTAAAAATAAAAAAATCAACAATATTCAAGCATTTAGACAATCACAAAACTATTTTTTATGTCTCTGCATATGAGCATGTGATATTATTTGAGGCCAAAAATTATGTGTTCTGCTAAGTTTTTTTCATAATTTTATAAGTATTTTTATAATTTTAAAATTACTTTTCTGTTTTTATTTTATGCGTTTTTGCAACAGTTCTTTGCAGAACAGTGCATTTCCTCATTTCAAATTTTGGAGTATTTCAATTTTCTTATTAATTCGTAAAACAAATTAGTTTTCTGTTGATTTTTACTATAAAAAATTAGATGAGCTTATAAACAGAAAGTTTGTGGCATATCTGTTCATAAAAGTAGCGAAGTGGTAGATATACATGAGATTGAAATGAGAGCAAGAATAAACAAAAAGTTTGTCGAAGCTCTATCGTGAACGAGAAAAGTTTGAAAAGCCGGATTAAAAAGGTCGCACGTGGGATTATTGAAAACAACAAGAGAGCTCATTCATCGCTTTCATGTTTTAGGCCTTTGAAACTACGGCCAGTATCAATTTCCATATGAAGAACGGTTGTGCAATTCCGCTTTAATGCGGTCTCATATTTCGCCCAAACTTTCCAAAACTTTACGTTTTGATGAATCTGAATTAATTCGGTGTCACTGAAAGTTCTTTCCATTCGAGAGCGTACGCCAAGGTTGCTTGCGGTTTTGCACAACATAACTCCGATATTTGATTAGAGTTCTCGGTGGTTTCGGCCTAGCCCGGGCTAGAGCAAGCAAGTTTCGGTATGGAAACACCCGATTTTCACTTTAATTAAATTTGCTTCATCTAAATTAGATTTTCCGTTATATACCGAATCTGATTTGTTTTCCGTTACGCTCCAAAAACCATTTATACTGTTACTGGCAACGAATTTATGCATATGAATCATAAAATTAATCCATGCATTCGGGTATGCTACTCGCTGATGTTTTTCTCGACATTTTGATAAAAACTATAATTTATAATTGAATTTCCCATAACTAGGTTCGTGCACTGAACACAATCACATTATTTGTCAATTGAGACTGTTGAAATGAAGCAAATTTAAACTTTAAGAATAAATGTATTTTTTGAGTTATGATAAAAAAAAGATCAAATAAAATTGCTTCATTGTAAACGGACTTTGCATATTGGCTGAAATTGCAGAAATTTCGTTCAAGTTCCCATGCAAAATTCAGGATTGCCGAAAAGACCTAAATTCGCAAAAACTGTACAAGTTCTGCAAATGAAAATGTTTTGATGCTGATGCAGTAGATTTTTTATTTTTCGGGTAAAATGACATGCAAAAAGACAAACCAACGGTCCTTTAATACTTGTCCCGTGGTTTATTATACATCTGGCAAAATTCCAAAACCCGCTTAAACAAGAAATAAATCCCCGAAATCCAGGTGTATTTTGTCTGGCAGAATTTTAATTTATACACAAAACACAGTGCGGGTGGGAGAAGTGAGTAATGAAAAAAATTTCAATTTCGTCACCGAGGGGTCGGTTTGGCAGATTATTTGCGTTCAAATTAGCCGAAACGGAAAATTAATTAAATTAATAGCGTCTCTTGTATTTTTTTTTCGGGCGCTAATAAGGGCGCGTGGACGATGGCGTTATTCCGGGGATAAAATTCGCAATTTTCGGATATAAAGTGCCATGGTCATGAATATTTTCATTATCGTTGACAAACTTGCTTAATTAGTTTCAGAGCTTTTTCAGATATTTGGATATTTTTTGGCGATTTAATCAAAGTTGAAAAGAGCGAATGATTCATGTTTAGGATAGCAATTAAGAAATGTGGTGAAATTTACTCACAGAAGATTTAAGCAAAAAAATGCTGTTCAGGAAAATTTGTCTTATGCGCAGGTTAGAGAATCCCAGGTACAGGGAGCCAAAGTATACATACAAATTTTGCCTATTTTTAATATAATCTTAACTAGTTTTTTTCTATTACCAAAGACAATTTTTTTTCACCTTTTCATTTTTTCCCGATAGTTTCTTGAGTCGTAAATTTGCAAAATCTGTGGACATTTACTATCTAATTGCTCTGCCATTTGCCTTAATGGATTTTCAGGATTTCCGCCGATTTTCCAGTGCGCCATGAGAGAAAAACCGGTTTACTTTCGATATTTCGAGCGGTAAATCTTGTCGTTTTTCGTCCTCACCGGCTGCATAGAGCAAACTTTCGGAAAGGTCTCACGTCAACGATTTAATCCGGAATTTCCGCTTAGAAAGGCAGATCGGAACTCTCCGCCTGCCCCGCAGCCGACTGACTTTGCACTTTTCAAGTGTTCCACATAAATTTCGTCTTATTTATTCCTGCGCGAAGTAGCGAACAACTTCAACTTCCGCCATTCATTTATAATTGCCAACGGAAATTATTTTCAAAGAACAATTTTTGAACACCGTCCCTCAGCCCCGAATTCTTTCCGCAGTTAATTAATTACCGTCAAGCGGTTCGCAATTACCTAAATAACAATAAATTTTAAAGTTGCCTATCTTTCGTTTGTTCGCCCGTAGTGTTCGGTTTAATCGCAATTAATTGCAGGCAATTATGTTCTTGGATATTAATTAGCGCTAAAAAAGTACTTACATTGGGCGACGTGAAGTTTCTGTTTCGGGCCATGTAGGCCTCAGCTAAGGGCGTTATATTGTTGATAGTTGATGGTGAAGACACAGGTGAAGACACTGTGGTTGCGAAATCGTTCGGATTTCCCGATACGGAGATCACTGAATTGTTTAAGCCGGGAGTTTGGGCAGCTGAACCCAGTTGATAATCTGAATCTGAAACAATATTTTCATAAAACCATTGCTATTTTTTTCAGCTAAATTACGTTGTTGCTGCTTCCAGTATGGACAACGTCTAGCATTTCAAGAAATCTGAACAATTTTGTGCCATTCTGTGCAAACGAAAACGTGGGTCTTAATTAACAGAAACGCGATCCACCTCTTGATCACCGGTGATCCATTATTAAATTCCAATTTGCCACGCTGAAAAATAAATGAGTGCTACTCTCGGTTTTCAAAAAGTAGGTTAATTAAATCAGCCATTGAGGTGTATCGAGCAGAAAAACATTACCGAGTTCGCTTTGAATCAGTAAAACATTTTCCAGGTGGGCTTTCTTAAAATTGAAAGGCTCTTCGACCGACTTTTCTCGCGGTAACTTTCTATAGAGCCCTAGCTGTTACCAAATACTATAGACTATAGTATTAGCTGTTACCTAGTCAAACCCTTGGACCGTAAACTTTGTATTGCCTCATACTTATAGTATATTCTTCTATGAATGATTTTCGTAAAGGCTTTGCTGATCTGATTGATCGGGCTTGGGAGTCGGTGGTCGGTGGTAACCACATTGTTGGATTTCTTTGGAATTGCAACAGACATCAAATGCAGCCAGCCCTCCGGGATTTTCCGCTGTTATACATGGTGTTGAAGAGTGCAAAGAGGTCAATGAATTGCTTGTCTGTTCTAGCTAGGATCTGGGATCTGTGGTAATTCTCTTTGTCTGGGCCTGCTGATTTGTTGCATTTTTGTGCTGCTATGGTTCCTCCTACCTGGATAAGACCTGTCCGATCCAAACACTTTTTCTATGTATGATTTCCACGTTTCAGAGATTTGTGATGACTCTGATATAATGGTTTTAACCCTATGTTTTTTTTTAAGCAGGCGTGTTCTATTTATTTAAGGTTTGCTTTTGCATTTTCCTGCATTTGTTGGAAATTAACTTTCCTTTCCTCTCATTTTTGTTGCTGTTATAGCATTTTTAATTTAAAACGTCTAGTGGCTCCCAGGAAATCAATGAACCTCTTGTCCTTTCAATAAATCGATTAAGTACTTTAAGTGGTTTTATCTGTGCCACCTACTTTTTTCCTTCATGAATCGCCGATCGACGGAATATAATATTGCATCCAAGCAAATCCGGATTTTACGAATTTTATATACTCGCGTATCAATTAATATTTTTCATTTTACTAGATCGAGCGCTTCACGTTCCAAAACATTGTAAATTAAATGTTTGCTATGCAAATTACGCCCATGAATCAATCATATTTCCTGCGTAACAATGGGACTGGAGAATTTTTAGCTCCCAGAAGGTTTACATTCCTTTGAGCCACTGTTTTGAAAAAATACATTTCGAATGCAAAAAGGAAAATACACGAAGTGCCCATTTAGTATTCCGGTCCTCAACTGAGGCCTTATTGTTTGAAATATGAAAAAAAATTGGTAACGGAGATGGCAATTAAGTTGATGGAAACATGTTTAAAATTTATGAATTTCAAATAAACCGGGTGTCCAACGATACGCTTACCAGTACCGGTACTATTTGTTTCAAAATTTGTCGTCGTATTGTAAAGTTTTTAGGAAATACGTACAGAAAAAAAAATGCTTCACAGCTTGTTGATTGAAACGCTGATTACCTATTGATATTCTAAAAATGCTTCATAAGCTTAAACATACCTTTATTCGATGGTACAACATCCGGGTTCCTGTCGTCCTTTTCAAAAAGATCGATGGAATCGCATCGTTGCTGTATCACCACTTTCCTCTTGGGGGGAAAGAATCGGTCTCGAAAAGCTCTTGAGCCGCACCTTCGCGTCTGGCAGATCTTGAGGGTGGCCAAAACTATGACAGTGATGAGCAACAGGGCAGTCACGATCCCAACCATCAAACCGAGCATGGGTGCGATTTCAATCTGATCTCGGGTACCCAGCGAGAGAACTGAAAGTGATAAGGGTTATGGCAGTTATTGTTAAATTCAGCCCGAGAAAGCGGTCTTATTAGTTTACGTAATTGATAGCGGCGGGTGGTTTTTCCACTGGCGAAAGCWGAAGGGAGAGAGCACGGACCTGGAGGAGTCTACATTTTTGTCCAAGAGTTGGAGCATTCAAATTTCAAAAGATAGRCTCAGTAGCGTSGAATGCAGAGTCKTCAGTTTTRAAGTTGCTTAAWAAATCCTTCAGCTTAAGTCTCTCCTGTCTATCTAGTCTGCTACTTCTATCTAGTGTCTACCTAGTCTTCTGATAAGTTGACAACWYCTCTAKATGAATTATTTAAAAAATATATTAAMGATGGTAAATGCTAAAGTTTTCTTTATTATTACTCAGKTTTTTAAAATCTGTGTGAACACGCTATRTGTTTTTAAGACAGACTTCTGACCTCAGAAATATTTATATTGTTAAGMTTTGTTTGMGGCGTTTTCTTWAGACTACGTKTTAGAAATTACTAAGAGCAATCCATCAAAGTAAACTTGAAATATSACAAACAAAAAAATYTCAGAGAAAATAACCATATTTACTGAATATTATAGAWTRARAAAATATAAATGAAAAAAMTAAGATTAAAATCAGTKATTCTCTATATGACCTCCATTTAGSTCTATACATTTTRCAGAATCAATTTCAATTTTATTTAAAACGTTTTGAATATATTAGTTATKATTCATATTAATATTGTTAACTGCATCCACTTTTATAAGGCGTAAGTTATCAACATTTATAACTGGACTTTCATACACAATATTCTTTCAATAATTCCAGAGAATAGAATCACGTGGAGTTAAGTAGGGGCTATTAGGGGGTTATGAATTAAGTATGAACTCAAGTGAAGTGGTTAAAATATTTAATTCTTCATCTTCATTTACAAATGTTGTTATTTTCTTTATTCTATAGTTTGCCGTTCGCAAAATCGATTTTCTACTCTTTGATTTGCTTTGATTGCTGTGATTTGCGGCTATTTATAATTTTTTAAACGCAATATAAAGAAAAACGCTAACAAATGTAGGCAGAATACATGAACTTTTGAAATCAGGACAAAAATCTTAGCGATCTGCCTATAAATAAATCGAGTGTTCCTATAAAAAAATACTTTCAGGTACACTTTAACATGTATGCCTTTGAAGCTGTCATTTTAACCTTCCATTTTATTAAGTTTTACTACATAATAACGAACAGCTGTAGTATTTACTACCTTTCACAATTTTTTGAAATAGATGAGCTTAGAGGTGTGTCGATCCATGAAGGAAAACCCTGTAGAGTTGAGGCTACAAATTTAGAACTGATTAATACATTTTATACATTAATATATCATTCTTGGTTGTGCCATCTCAACATCTGATTAACTGTTTAAACACGAACTGCACTTTGAAAAACCTAAGAGCGATCTGCGCTTGAAACAACACTTTTGCATCTGCAAGTGTGTAGAAACCTTCAAAAAATTTTGGGTTTAAGCTAAGTTTTTGTAAAACTATCGTTTCGATTGCATTAACTCTATCAAACGAARGCGTCAAGAYGCAGACTGATGAATGCCAATGCTGAATCTTCCATTTATTGCATCACGCGATTGCTGTGGAATGCGAATAATGTATCTATAAGCGAATAATGTATATATAATAATGTATACATGTATAATGTARAGCCTTTAGTCCTTAACCCTCAAGTGCAATCATTTMTATTTTAACTCTATTCYATCCAGRGATCATAGTTGAATGTTGCTGGTTCTAAACTGTTCKAATAAAAGACTTCCAGCCGGGTTGCCCAACCAGGTAATCATAGCTGGAGACAAGACAAGTAGCCCGAAAATTACACAATAAATCAATACATTTTCCCATGAAAGTAATTAGAATTTGCCATTAAATGAGTTCGGAGGCTTTCGAAATTAAAGCGATATTAATCAAGCCGCAGGGACACCGACCAGAAACAGAAAATGATAAGGGTTTGCTGGGCTGTCATTGATTGATACCGCGTGGAGAGGGCAACTTGATGCACTGTAATATATTGTCGGTCCAGCAAAATACCGAGTTTTAATGAAATAAGTTCGAGTGTAACTTGTTTGAGGCGAGAGAATGAAACGTAATTAAATTCTCCAAGATAAACAGTCGGTCATTGTTCACGTCTGACCACACGCGTACTGCCTCAGAACTTGTCTTATATCGTCTGGTCAATTGACCAGCCTTTTCGGCTTGATTTTTTTTTGGCTAAATCGGATTTAGAAGGAAAAGTTTAGGTTTTAACGTTAATATAAGTTTCGTGATAATTTTCTCGGTTCAAACCAACATGTGTAACTATTTATGCCACTTCGCAGCAAGCGGATCTGCGACAGTTGAAATTTTCAAACAATCTGTAGCTAAGTGTAAAATTTCCAAGCCAATTCACTATCCTTTCCTAATTGATATTCAGCAGATTTAAACATACATTTGATTTACGTTCACTGTAATTTACACATGCGGGCTTATCCTATTGCTCAGGAATTAAAAGAATATGTTCACGTAAAGTTACCCTCTAGAACCGTCGAAGTCGGAGAATTCACCTCCCACATTGGCCTAATAATTTAGAGCAGTTTTGTTAAATAAACTACTGTTTAACAAACAATAGAAGCTCAAGTTTGTAAGGCAATTTGTAGTTTCACAAGTATAGACACAAACTTTTCTTGTATATGCCGATTATTTCAGATTCGGTAGAATTCAAACTTTTATTTGCTGGTTTGTTAAGCTTACTTAATTGCTTTCGATGTTAGAAGCTATTCTATATACATATTTAAAGTCTTCGGGACTACAACAGGAAAAATATGGTGCGCTAAAGAGGCGATTACCCAGAAACTGCCTAAAATGATTGAAAGCGTCGATTATTTCGAATTTGAAGCTTCTAGCTTTTTCCATCGGGTTGTCGGATTCCTCAGTTTCTCGAGATACGACTTGATATGAAATAGTGGTTAGTGTTAGTAAATAGGTAGTTAGGATTAGTATAAGTTTAAGTAAATATGCTTTTTTCGAAAAACTGACTTCAATCGACATAAAAAAATTTGAGCAAAATTCAAAATTTTACTCGCTTGTTTTTTGAGCTCAATGGATTGCTTTTGATCTAAGAAGTGCTTCTGTATGTATATTTAAAATTTCTAGGACTACAATATTGCAAACATTGTTCGTTCAAAATCTTGAATATCAAAAAACTTCCAATAATTATGGAAAATCTAGATTATTTTGGATCTAAAGGTTCCAGCCCGATTTTCAATGAGTTCCTTGGATTCCTCTGTTCCTTGAAATAAGATTCAAGTGAAACACAACGCATTTTGGGAATGTCTTGTTTTGGCAAAAACGTACCTTAAATAAGTTTCGGTCATAATCCAAAATTTTGCTTGCGTGATTTTTGAGCTCAATGGATTGTTTTCGATATAAAAAGCTCTTCCACATGCATATTTAAACTTTCTAGGACTACAATAAAGAAAATATCGTCAGTTATAAATCGTGAATCTCCAAAACTGCCCCAAATATTCGAAAATGTCGATAATTTCGTGTTTGAAGCTTCTAACATGTTTTCCGATGACTTCGTCGGATTCCGTGCTACCTTGAAATAACAATTATGCGGAATTCAAAACATTTTACAAAAAAAAAATGAGAAAATCGACCACCACCAAGAGAAAAATTTCAGTTAACAGCAATAGAGAGGCACTTTTAGTTACAAAAAATAGTAAAAGCTAATTTGCACTGAAAAGCATTTAACTGCAGGTAAACAGAAAACGGTTTTAATGCAGGAACTAATAATGTGCCTAATCCGATTCAGCAGGAACACTCGTGAACGCTAAATTTGCATAGCGATATTCATTTCGATAATATTTCTTTGCTCTCTAGGTTTAGTTAGTTTCATTGTTGGAAACCATCACCGATCCTGCAATATCTTCATTTTCACTATTTTCGCTTATATAATAGATCAGATATTAAGCTGAACGTTTCCTTGCCACAAATAAAACCTCGCTTTTAACCTGACAAAAGCGCTAATTGTGAACTGAGCCAGTGTTTCTAGTGGATCGTTGGTTCAATCTTAAATGTGAAATCGATTATAAATGTTAGTTCCCAGAGATTAAACGTCTTCTTTGGAGCTCCACTGCAATCCAATTAAACCCTACATTTTCTCATTTAAACACCCACAATTCACATATTTTGAATAGACGTTTAAAATTTGCCGTTTACAATCACTTCTGCATGTTAGACAGGTTCTTTCAGTGGAATAAAATTAACTTACGTACGTCCACCAAATAAGTAAGCCGACTGTATAATTTAGTTTATAAGTTTGTTCAAGTGAAGCGCGGATTCGACTAGGCGTCGTGCGAGTTTGTTTGCGTTTTAGAAACTTGACGGAAATGCATTAAGTCTCTTTGCCTACCTCAATTAATTCCAAGAATACTCAACATTCAGATATCTCAAACGTCTTTGTCTAAGCAGATTGCGGATTGGCGCATCGCTAATTGAAACATTAATTTTCGAGTCGAAGAGTTGCAAAGCTACGCTTCCAGGCGGGCTTTCTTTCTTTCGGTAAAATCGACAAATTTTCAGTTTGGCTGGATAAAGGCTTCACTCTAGATAAAACGTCTTAGCTAAGTGTCTCTGCTGAAGAGAGAAATTAGTCCGTCATCGCTGGATATTTTCAAAATGGTTTGAAAACATTGCATCTCTTGGCTTTTATTATTATATAAGTGGTATTTCAGAACTGAGCAATGATAGAATTGCAATTTTATGCAATGTGAAAACGTGCCTTATAAAAGGGTACAAGTCGCTTTTATTGATTATGAAAAATCTCTGTGCAAAAACAGAAAGTTGAAGAGTTGACTGCTTTAAATTAACTTAGCTTCTTCGTAAAAAAGTTGCAAACTCACGTTCCGTTTCAATTAAGAAATTGAATTTACTCTTAGCTCTGAATGCTAAAATAACGAAAGCTGAAGTAGTTTGAAATAAACTGCGTGGTAGTCAGTTAATAAAGAACAAAATATTTTAACTGATAACGGCAAAATTTTAAGAATCTAGTAAAATTTTATAAATATTTAAGCGCTTGTATGTGTAACTCAGCACATACTATATATTTCGTGGCAACGAAATCACATGCAAAATAGGATCTTCCGAAAATTCAAGCGCGTACAGATTTCTGCCGCAAAATAAAAGAAACATGTCGTAAATCAACGAGTTTTGGACCGGAATATGCGGGCAGAACCGAAGAATTCGCCCAGGTTGCCCGACATTTGGGAATATCACGTAGATGCAACGAAATGCAACTGGACATCGAAATATGAGTAGGAAAATTACAGAAAATATATTTAGCACGGATTTTGCAGCTTTACAAGCGCATGAATGCAGTAAAGCTGGAAAGCTGCTACTTGCAATTTGACCGAAACTTGACTGGGGAGAAAAAACGAATAAAAATTGCTGCAAGAAAATAATTGCGGGAAATATTTATTATTAACTAATTTCCTACAAATTATAATTTAAAATGCGAATTCAAATGAACAAAAATAATTTTATCCGCTTTCTCAAGGCTGATGACACATTTTCGTTGGAATAGCCACCTATTTAGTGAATGGGGAGAGCAGACAAGCGGAAATTGCCGTAAAAACGCTTTTCGCTTTGTCAAATGATTTGACGGGCAAAGTGTTAAGCACCACGAGCGGATTTTCCAGCGAAACTAAAAGAAAAATCCCACAAATCTTACCTGTCTGCTTTTCGGCTACTTTTAGTGTAAATCCTTCGAGCAGTACCGGATCGCTGCGGCCTTTGCTGTTTGCAGCATAGATTACCATTTTCAGTTCTGTTCCCGGATCCAGACCACTCACGATAAATAGGGGGAATTTCGCCGAAACATTAGCTTGAATGAGGCCAGTTTTCCTGTCGTAAACCTGCAACACATTAAGCGCCATTGTAGAAAGAATTGACCCGATATTTCAGTTGCTAACTGAAAAGGCTGACCGATAGAGCTTAGCCCGCCATTCAATCGACATGTTTATCTTTCGAGTAATAAACAGCATGCTCCGCATGCAAACAGTTAAAAGGGTGCTGGTGTAATCTCAGTGCTGCGATTAGCTTCTGATTAATAAGGACTCCATTAGCCCGATAGCATTTGCAGGACATGGCTCTCTCGAGGGTTATATTAACCTTGTTGCAACTGTTCAACTTAGCCCATTTCTTACCAAGTTTATTAATATGGATCAGCCTGGTGGTCATCCCAATGTCCGTGGAGATTTCTTAGAACTGCCCTTACCCGATCCGGTTTAATTAAGCCAGATTGTCCAAGAGATATTGCAGATAGCAGATTGTCTATGGGCGATATTTAATATCTAATGGCTTTAATTACAGAATTCACAGTCAATTTTCAAGCATGAATGAAATCGCTGAAAAGTCTTCAAGATAACATCAAATATACAAATTATCCTGTCACCGCATCAGATAATCTGATCTTATCTACGGTAAGAAAAAATATCTGATTCTCGTCTGATATTGATGGTCAAAAGAGTATGGTTTTTGGAACTTATATTTTGAGGAACGAACCGCAATTATCCACTCTGGCAAAGTGGTCCATTCTTGAGTGTCTTTGTACAAACCTACCAGAACTTTTTATTTGGCAGGTGAAATCAACTGATTTTTTTTAGTTTATGAGCTAATCCTTATATAACATTTTTGTACTTTTTGTAAAATCTTGTACCATTCTAAGTTTTTGTGGAAAAAAATTATGTTCTCTTCCCAGCTGACAATTTTCAACATTTACAAACTTTTTGCATTAACCAAACTTAAATTAACTTTTTTGTAGTATCGGGAGACCGTTCACATACATTTTAAAGAAACTGGCTTGAAATTCTCCGTCGGAGGTCCGAAGAACGCAATTCGGACGAATGTGTTTAAAAAGACGACTGATAATTATAAAAGATTAACCAGTAATTTATCATCAAAGGAGAATATCACTTACTGCGACTTTGCGGTTAATGCCTGAAACTGTTAAGTAACAAGGAAACAGAACTAATTTTTTGCGGAAAAATTCTGATTGTATCGAAATTTTCCAAATCGTTTCGTTAAAATCAATTGTACATAGTTTCCTGACTGTGTTTCAATTCCAAATCAAAACTAATTCCTGGGTTTCAGTCATTTATTGCCTCTATTTATCAATTAAAATACGTTTCGGTGTATTTTTTCACCATCATCAGTTTTTATGTGTAGCGTTGTTGCTACTTTAAGCCTTGGGATATATTTAAAAAAATGAACATATGCCAAGGCTTAAAGTAGCAACAATGCTACACATAAAAACTGATAAAGGTGGAAAAATACACCGAAACGTATTTTAATTGATAAATAGAGACAATAAATGACTGAAACCCAGGAGTTAACTTTGATTTGGAGTTAAAATCAATATCATCATACTTTAGCAATACAAAAATTTTTTTTGAAGAACAGGCCATCCAAACAGACGGGCCATATTTTAAAAACATATGTGTCAGATTGTCTTCTTTTGAGCCAAAGAATGTACCCTGTATATGCCTATATGAGAATAAGTGTGCTTTAGTAATCTAGAAATTTGGGTTTTTTATATTTGCGGCTTTTAACCATTAAATGGCAATCGTGCGAATAGCAAAGCTGCTAATATCAATTTCTCATTATTTTCCGATATAAAAAGCTCAAAAAATTTCGTGGTTCATCTAGTTTTCCGTAAAATCGCATAAAAATCATGAAATTGAATATTACTAGCTGTTTTAAAAGCTGCGTATTTTTGACAACTGATTATCGGATTTTGTTATCGCAAAATTGTACGCTAAACGAGTGACCGTTTCTATGGCCTTTAGATTGATTTTATACAACAAATGCAATATTCCAATTTGCACGTGGCTTTTATAGAAATAATTGCCTCGTGTCAATTATGAAATTTCAGCCACTACTTGCATCGAAAACATTATAATAGTGCCATTTTCCCATCGCAAAAAATACGCTTATCATGTAAAAATAAACAATTTAATTCCATGGAATGTGCATTTTAATCCAGAAGGAAATTGAAATTGCACATTATTATAGATTATGAGTGATTTTGGAAATTTAACCAATTAAATGCATCACACGGGGTGACTTTGATAAAAACGGCAACAAACGCACATTTGACATGCCAAAAATGCATTCAGTGTTTCATCGTTTCACGGTTAACATTTAGCGAATATTTATCAAGTTTCGGTATTTAATGAAATATTAATTAATCGCGCTAGTTTTGCAGCAAAACCGGACGCACGCCAAGAAGAATTAACTCTAGTTTTAGTCTCTCCAAGCACACAGAGTCGTAAATTCTCCCTACACTACATAGGCCTTAGAGGGAAAGAGATCGTCGCGGTTCTCCACAACCAAATCCCTCTGGGTCTTTCGCTTTAGGGACGCTCGTTAGCATTATTGACATTTGTTTGGTTAGAGAACTAACTGGATTTCACAAAGTTATTAGTAACTAAGAACAGTCTCGTTCCTCGAATTAAGAGCACTGAATTTATTTTATTAGCTCTGTGCTGTAGTTTTGCGACTGCTGTATTATTGTGTTGGTTTATTTACCCTAAGTGGCTTTGCTGATGAAAAGATAGAGTTGTGGTCTGTGGTAGGGTTCGTGGGTCTAAAAATCGCCATTTTTTTTTCGCTAGAGTCAGTGCAATTCGGGTTGTGGAGTTTGTCCCGAGCCGAACGATGCAAAAGTTTTTTTCGGAGTGAAATAATTCATCATGATTAGTAGTTCGTTATGAGGTGGATTTGTGGTCGAACTGGTTCACCGTTTCATTTTCTAGAAATTTTGCGAATCGTGCCTCTGACTCTATCAATCAGGAGTAACATTTCTTCTCACCGTTTAAACTGTTATTAACGTTTAAAAACTTCCCTTGCCAAGGGAAAATATTCAAAGTCCAGTCGACCGCTTCTACTCACCATCAGAGCTTGAATTTTGTGTTTTCGGCGACAAAGTTGAACTTTTGTATTTTTATCCAGGACTTTTCGAAAAAAAGTGTTAAATTTTTTGAGCAAGTGTCAATTTCCCTAATTTCATATTTCACTCACAAACGTTTCATCCAGGTCAATACCAGAATACAATGGGCTCTCAAACTACTGCCGCTTAATAATGGTCCTGAGATGGCAAATTGAAGCGAAATGATTCGAGCAATTCTATGAACTCTTACTCACCTCTAAACGAAAATATTGCGGTTGGCCGCCGTCGAATCCCTCAGTGCATTCGACTTCCAGGGAATCGTTAGTTCTATTGACAATGGAGCAGTTATGCAGAGGGTCCGGTTTTCCAGCGCCGATGACATGAAATATGCATGGCTCATGCTGTCGTCCTGCCAAGTTGTTCGCCCAACACATCACCTAAAAAATTTATCGACCGCAGCGTAAATTGTTCTCTTCGGGGAGCTGCATTATTAACTTTCAGAACACACAAGGGATGCTTCGCAGAAGAAGAGAAGTCGCCGAAATAATCGATTATTGAAAGACACAGCAGCGCTGTCTCCAGGACTTTTTGTGTGAATCATAAATTGAGCCACTCTGTACAGTGGTTGCAGGGAAACTTCGAGTTTCAGCCAGAGAAATATATTTTTTTAAAACCATACTCACTGTTCCATAATCCAATTCGGTGATGGGCGAATACGTCAACGTGGATGAATACAAATAGTTTTCCGAATTATAGCGCGTCTGAGGAAACTCAATGGTTTCTGCCGAGTTGTTAAACGACCAGCTGAAACTATCCGGAGGTGGATAAGACTCAACTTCGCAAAGGATTTTCGTGTTCTCGTGTCTGGCCACACCATAGATCTGTTTTTGGTTTCGTCGACAAATCGGTTTATCTACAAAGCAAAAACTGTTTCTAACAATAATTACTAGATGCTGTATGCGTTTTTATCTCCTGGGCAATGATCGATTTCCGTTGCATAATGAGATACTTAGGGACACTCTTGCCGGGTGCGCCAATAAGAGATGGGAGAAAAATTCAATGAACTAACGATCCAGATAGTAAGATTTTTCGAAACTTCCAAACCATTATTCAAAGTTATCTGCACCATCTGCTTCATTCTCGCAACGCGAAAAAAAAGCATCGCAATGACCGAGCGGGTTTTTCGATATATCCAAAAGGGCGCATTTAAAACTGCGAGAAAGCAATCCATTTAAAGTTTCCCGAATTCAAAAAAGTTTCTTCATTGGAAAGTTTTGCGACAGTTCGTTTATTTGCTCGTTCCCGTCTTTTTTAACTACCCCTTCATAGGGAACGGTTAATGTAGATGCAACTTTTCAAAAGCCAATTTATCCTCTTGTGTATATGCAGAGTCGGATTTGAAAAGGACTAAGTGAAACATTGCGATCTTTGCGCTTAAAATTGGATTATAAATCAGATGCAAATTAGCTGGAATAGGGGGGAACCTTTTCCAGGACAAATGGGAGCCAGTGGGTCCAGAGACGCCAATCGTCTGAAACTAAAGCATTTCCAATATCACGCGTCATTAGGTTTGCACGAGTTCGTATGTCCAGTTCCCATAAGTCAAGTTTGTACAAAATACGGGCCTCTAGTTAAATAATGACCCAATTTAAATTCGCCAATTTTTTTCCTTGACAAATCCAAACACAAATTGTTCTGTGATTGAAAAATAAAATGGACCACCAGCTCTAATGTTGCACGTTATTTAGTTGCTGTTTGCAGACTATCTGGATCCGTGAGAGAAAAGTAAACGCTGAGAAAAATTAATGTCGTGCTCCAAATTTTACACTTTATTTGATCAATCCGTTTCTGAAGGTAACTTTTCAATTTTCCAAATTTCCCGGACAGCTGAACGCAAGAAAGCTTTGCAGGCCGCACGATGGATTACGATGTTTACAAAACACTTACACATTATCTTTAGCTGGACAATATTGCTGTCTCCATCTCCCTCAACGTTCGATGCGACGCAGGAGTAATTTCCTGCTTGGCTTCGTGTCACTCCCTGAAGGGCCAACGCTCTCGAACTAATTATGATGCCGGCCTTTTGGTTAGCTTGCATTACGAGGTTCTGTAAAAAAATGAGGTGGATTATTGGCCGGTCGGAAATGCATAAGACAAGTTAAACAGTTCAGAGTTTTTCGTTAAATTTCTGGAATACCTTATAAAATATGCGAAGTATTCAAAGGTTCTGCCCAAGGCAGCTTGTCTTAGCTTGGCGAGGGATTGCTATCGTATGCGCGCATGTTTAAAAATAGTTGAAACTTGGTTTAGGCTTGAACATAATTTGTTCCTGATGTTTTGCAAGCAGGCGTCGCTTGCATTTTCAGCTCTGTCTGAAGAAAGTCATTCTCATCAGCCGACTGACTGCGCCAACTTGGGTTATCTTGGGGCTTTTAGGCCGTCATGGAAAATTATTTATTTCTGGCTTGTCACAGGAACGAGCAGAAATTGTTTTATTACAGCTCAAAAGTGCCAAAACCTCAAAAATTTACAGCAAAGGCCGAGAAAGACAAACTCTCCTGATCCATCCAATTCGTCTTGAAAATCGCATTAAAAACGCATAACCTGTTCCACTCGTCATTTCACCATTAGAAAAGTGATTACTATTAACCTACTGACTGCGCCCAATTTGCTGACCTGACGAGTATAGCGCCTTCGATTGGCGGAAATAATGTCGGTTTTTCTGCTTCAAATATTTTATTCCAGCCCACGAATCTTTAATTAAAAAAATCTAGTTGTTACCCACACAAGTCCCAATGCTGAAATTGAAGCTGTGCGAGAAAATAACTTTCTAGTGGGCAATTAACCGCTTCAACAAATATTAAGGCCCAATAATTCCGTGTTTGGCATTTGAGTAAATAAAAAAAAAAGCCGAAATGTTACAAACATGAAAATCTCAGCATTTCAGCTTGTTTTTGTACTAATACAGGAAACATAATTAAGCAATTATATTAAAATACCTATTGCAAAGCCAGAGTTGTTTTCCCCGCGAAAGAACGGGAATTTTAATTAATTATGACGGTTTCTGAATTCCGGCAACTTTATTTTCATGTAAAATTACGGCGGGCATTATAATGGACAACTTTGGAGTATCGTTTTGAGGACGGAAGCCGGGAAAATATCGATTAAAGCAGCATCTTTCCCATTATCTAGATAATTTTCTATTCGGGTGTTTTTAGCGGGTTTATCCATGTAACAAATGTGACAACCAGTGACGAAAGGCAATATACGGCTATTTGGGACAAACAAGAAAAATATAAAAGAATATGTAGGTTCTATAAAAGATGTCCTGGGTCTAATAAAACGAAGTCACGTCTGTGAAAAATTTACTACTGTGTTCCCATCAGTTTCCAGCCAAGGTTCGGAAGTTGGGAAATTCCTTGCTGTTTCAACCGGGACATATTTCTTCTTTTCATACGTGTGAGGAAAACAAATTAAAGTCGATCGTTCGGTTAATAGCTGATTTAATGTCGTTATTCAGGTAATAGTGTGATCAGTTTTAATGGCTCAACGTGATCAGCATTTTAATTCCATCAATCCTGGAAGGTTATCTATTTGGAATGAATTTTGAAAAGTTTTCGAAAAAGAATTAATTGTCTTGTAAAGTATAAATTTCACAGTTGCATATATTTCCAGTTTTGGCAAATTTCGCGCAACACAATCCTGCAAAACTCTTTTTCAACACTTAGCAACTGAGAACAAGAATAAATGTTTAATTTCCTGTGCTTTTATTTATGACGTCCGTGGAAAGTTGGGACGTTTTGAAAATAAATTTCGCAAAGAAAATTCATTTATCGCACGAATCCCGAATGGTAATTTACACGTTCGTGAAACGAGCAGCTGGGAAATTAGACCGCAACAACGAAAAACTTGTTGGCTGAGTTTATCCTGTTTAGTTTCCCAGTTTTATTCGCCGCTGAAAGCAATAACTCAAAAGCAACCAAATTCATAACAATTATCTCGAACAGTCGCAAATGTCTGTGACGCCGTCGAAAGGCAAAACTATTATTACCACTTCAATATTTACTAAATATTATTATACCCTCTGCCAGAGGCACTTTCCGGCTAACTCCCAACTGGAAACTTTGCCTGATTTTATTTCTGGCTGCAGCAAAAACTTTCAATCTCTAAAGCTAAGTTTCAGGTTTCATTTAGGAGAGGCAATAAGAGTCGCTTTGAGACGATAACTGAAAAATTGTCGGAATATATAGGAAATTCAATTGAACAGGAAACTACGATAATTGCAGCTTGAAAGTTACAGATGGAGTTTATTCCGGTTTGTTATTTTGGTGCTTTGAAAGTTGTTCTGATGACATTAAATAATACACATAGACGAAAATCGTCAACCGCAAAGGATTTATTTTCTTAACCAAGTATCTAGAACTAGCAATATGTACAAATATTTACAGCGTAGAACTAAAACCGTATTTAGAAAGTTGTACATTTGCGCAAGCACACTAAACATACCTTCATATTTGTTTAATAAAACTGAAACGAGACTTTAAAACAGTTGTTCTAAGGATAAAGCGAACTTTTCCAGCGTACGAGCCATTTGGTTTTATTACTTTTCCAGACGTAACTGTCACAGTTGGTTCTGAGTTATGTTTCGATTATTTTTAGGAAATGCGCCCTTTATGTTATATTAATACTCTACAACTAGTTTGGAAACTTGGATCCTGACTAGTAGTTTCTTTGGGGCCGAATTCTGGTGAAAAAGGCGATTCATCTGACAAACGAGAGTGTTAATTTGTGTGCCTAACACGTGTGGAATAGGAACCGGATAAGAAATGTGGATGTTTTATCTTAGCAGTTGATTGCCGATGGTCAATACTGAAATTTTCAAAGACGTGACCACGTCTGTTTGAACTTTCTGCAGGTTTGAATCACTCGTGCGATATCGAACCGTCTGCCTTAAGAAACATGCACAAAGGTTTTACTCTTTGCACATTTAATTTCCTCAAGTACAGAGATAAGACCGCCGAAATCTCGTTTGGCAGTTGCAAATCTTCTATTAGGGAGAATTCTCAGTAGCGATCGATTTCGAATTACTAGATCTAGAACATGTCAGGACAAGTTTCTAAGCCAAAGCTGCGAGCTTTCCGCCGGTAAGTTTCCGCAAAATGTGGGCCTTTTTATCGTCGGACTTCTAGTATTTGGAACGATAAAACTGTATATTATCTGATAATGCTGCAGTTCGCAGCTCCAAACAATAATAAGCTTGGGAATTGGAGAAATTTATCGAGGTGACAAAGTGAACGAAAGAGCAAAAAATTTCGGTTCAGAATAGTGCAAAAGTTGCTTTAACCGGGTGCTTGTGTCGAAAGGTTACGATAAAGCGTTTGTCAGGCAGAAAATTAAATATGAATGAATCTGCTTCTGTATTGGAAAAAAGATGTAAGAAGAATCGGTAACGAAGGACGTTTTAGGAGACAATATACCGCGTTAATTTTTTAGCGCAAATGTCTATCTATCTTCTGAAACAGGAGCAAAACTACGCCGAAAAGAAATACATTTTCTATTGCAAAACAGTTGAAAAATCTCACCCTCATGCATTTATAAAGTAGGGGAGCCGTTCTCACATATCGCACCGCACATTATTAAGTTAAACGACCGTTAAGCCTGACTTACATTGTGCTTCCAAACAACTTTGTAAGCCTGGGGATTGGAGTTGACTTTGCATTCGAAGTAGACATCGTCGCCTTCCTCGATATCATCCGGATTCAAGTTGGAACCGAGAGATAAATGGAGTATTGGCACATCTGGAAAGTAGGCAAATTCAATTATTTGTCCTTCGGAAGAAGTGATAAAAGTTGATTATTGTGATAAGGTTCTAAAAGTTCCATGAAACCATTGGGAATAAGGCATAAGCTGGGGAATGTCACTAGTGAAATAATGGAAACTTACAATATACATTAAGCTGCAAGCTCGCTTCTTCTATGCCTTTTTTCACCTTGAGATTGATGGCTTGACAGGTTAAAGTGCGGCCGTTGTCCTGCCGACTGGGTACAATCGTCAGGGTCGAAGTAGTTGAGTTGTTATCATCTGAGTTCTGAAACAAGATCGTTTCAACAAAATTAATTAAATTCTTGCTTCTTCTGAACGAACTTTATGAAGTATTTTTTTGCGCTTACCGTTGCCGAAATATTAAACTTGGGAGGCTTCAGCTCCTTTCCATCTAAAATCCATATAATTTTAGCTGGTGGTCTGGACCCGAAAGTCTGGCAAGGAATCGGATATTTTCGATCGGCACTGAAAGGCTGATTGCTGCTCAAAATTTCCGTGCTGATTGGACGAGCTGAAACCAAAAATAAGGCTTTTGGCAAATATTTATGCAAAAGAACTGTCGGAATTCAATCGGCTGATAAATGTTTGCGAATTTTCGATCCATTACCGTTAGGCAATGGAAAAATCGACCAAATTTGTAAATTGCTTTAATGAATCTCGGCACGAAAATTAGGAAAACTGATCAGAAATTCTGGTCTAATTTGCCGCTAAACACGCAGGCTTCTGAACACGAAAAGTTGCAATCTGCAAAGTTTATGTAACGCCCGGCAATAATGCCCAAATCCATGTGGAAAATGTTTTATTTAAATCGGGCGCAATTAGTGCCGATTCCATTGAATTATAAGCAGAAAATTTTGAAATTTTCCGTGATGATTTATGATAGGGGATTTTTGTTAATGCATCTGAAGTGCATCAAAGAGGCTAATTGTTGGCTTCAGGCTTTTGATAGAATATTTTTTGATTTATTCTATATAGGGTGCTTTACCAAGACTGGGGAATCTGAAAAGTGGAGCTACAGGTCAGATTGTGGCCAATGGCGCAAGGCTGCCTTAACCGAAACACCCGAAACTAAAAAGGTAAGAAACTATGCATTTTAWATACYAAAAAATCTGAAAATARTAATAATTAAATAACGTAATTRTTACATTAAACGGTGCGTTTTGTGAGAAACCTCGAATTTGGAGCAACTTAATGGGATTTTCTCTGATTYGTTGGCAGCGACTTGTATTATTTGCCCCAATTCTTCACAGGAACCAATAGGTTATTTCTAAAGTCTATTTTYGTTTGAGATCAAATTTAATAATCCATACGATTGAAGTCCGGGCATCTGCGTGGYCAAGCAATAGCGCTTGCACGGTCAGTCCTATTATTTGTAAAAYCTTGCATACACCARATTTTCATCCTTAAGCGAAGTGAAATATYTTCAATTAATCGGACGAAATTTAGTTAAAAATATTTCAGTAGCAACAGGCTGTTTAACTTGAGGGAAAGTTGAAATGATGCAACAAAAAATTGCTAATAACACAGTAACAAATATTAACTTTAAATTCATGTTGAAAATGACTGCCTTTCACACCGTGGCGAAGTGTTCGGTGAATTCATTTTTCTCGATTGAGATCTCGAAGGATTGAAATATCGATAATCAACAAGAGTACCAAATTTAAGTAGAATTTATTGTAGTTTTTGATTTTGAACTCAATTTCATGTTACATATACAGGGCGAAAAGTTATTACTTGAAATGTAAGAAATGTTGGCTGCGAGCAGCATCCTATAGAAACAACGCAGAAATTGCAACACGTATATTATTCGTGAGATAATAAATCTATCGTGGCAAAATTTCAAACTCCTCGGCTTTGCATTTACAGAATAATGACAAAAAAATTACAGACTTTTAACACGCTTTATCTCCGAAAATATCAACTTTGGATATGCATCCTTGCGCCAATAGCCAACATTGGACGCGTAGTATATCCACTTTCCGCATTTTCAATTTTAAATGAATTCCCCAGTACAAATAGGCGTGCGAAGTATGAATTGGGTTTTAAAAAACAGAGTTTTTCAGGCGACCGTTCAAATTCCCGCAAATTAAGTTGGCCTTTTCATTCCTTTGCAGGTAATTGCTTACGAAATATTTCACGTTTTATTTAAGGGCTTAATAAGAACAAAGGCCATGCTGTTCTCGAGGGAGCGAACTACCCTAGCAACTGGGACGCAGCAAATACCGCCCCAGCGTTTATGACTTTGGTTTATTATTCAAGAGATTTTCATTGATGAAAAGTCTGGCATCCCAATGTTTAATGTTTGGAAATTAAAAGACTAGTGAAACTTTAATATGTGGATTGTTGACCAGGTTTGGAAAACAATTGAGCTTGAATGATAAAAAAAACGGTTTTTCTGCTGAGTTTGTAAACTGTGCAAATATACCTCAAGTTTTCCCAATACTGACTGTGGCCTTCACTCACGTACAATCGTTTATTTCCTTTGACGTTGGACTAAAGGCAATGGTACTTTTTGTAAAAATGGACTTTTTCCAACGTCGGCATATATCGTGATTAATGGCCATATTTCTGCAAGGGTTATTTCATGCAAAGTTTCTCTTCCTTACCTATAGATTAATTACTCTATCCCAAATCAAATCACTTGAACCAAGCCGGTATTGTTCCAGCCAAGGTTGGGTTTGTGTTTAGAAACGAGGGTACGTATCATCAATCATAATATGTCTCTTTGGTGCGTTCCAGATTTAAGCCTTCAGCCGTGCAAATATCCCTGTTGCCAAAAACATCAAACGCGGCTTATTTTTGTTCTGTTACCTTAATATAATATTTTGGTGTTGTGATGGATCGCACTTTTCCTCGTATTTTTTTTCGAAGCCGCATTAATTCACATGGAATTGACAAAGTAGGCGCTTAGTCTTGTGCGATTCGCTCCAGATAACTTATTGGGAAAATATCGCTAAAAATCATGTTTGGGCTTCAGCCTATTAGTTGCTGTGAACATGAGGGTAAAACGGTACAATTTGCATAGTGCGAAACTGAAAACTCGCGTCAATTTTTAATCGGATAATCGTTTAATAATTTATTTAAAATTGGTGGCGGTGGATTGTCAATGCTAATGGTATTAGCGCCTTCCTGGCCCATTTGGCTTCATAAAATATGCATGTGCTTCGCTGCAATAACTCAATTTTATTGAAGTTTTTAGCCGCCCCATTATTATCCGCGTGTTGTCCTGTTTAATGAACACTGACTTCAGTGTGAAGCTATCTGATAAAATTTTTGTAAAATTGCGATTTGCATTTTTCAATATGCATTTTTCCAGTTAGCGCCGATACTCTATTGAAAACAGTTATCAAACGCCGCAATCCTTTTTGCCGTATTCAACTAGAGGGCTTTCGAGACGGGCGTTCAACATTTGCGTTATAAAACTATCGAAAACTCGATCAATCATATCGGCTCCCTCAAAAATTCCACTGCAAACGAATCTCGAAAAGATCCTGCCGGTAAATAAACTACGTGTTCTTAAATGTATGAATAAATTGTGTATTCCCGCTATTTGGAAATTCCAACAAGAAAATGCTTCTAACATTTTACGAACTCCTTTTATGCCCGAGGTGGGTAAAAGGTTTAGGAATGTATTCTTTTCGCGGATACTCAAAGTAACTCAGTGTAAAGATTTCCATCGGTTGTTTGAAAAAGCTCAAAACTGGATCTTAAACGCTCGACGGCTTCACTAGTTGAATATAAATTAGGTTCTTTGTGTCAAAAGGTATCACACATTCCCTTCTCAATCGAACATATGGATAAGGGTTATTTTGTGTCGTATAAAGCCACATGTCCTTCGTGTATATATAACTGACGCCTTGAGTTTCGTTGGCCTACTGTTTTATTTAACTGTATTAATTGAAATACGACATTCTCTAATTGATCTGTATATTAGTTTACAAATCTGTAAGACTGTGAGTCGACAGATCAACTACTCAGGGAGCATTCGATATTTTAATAATTCATATACCTTCTCATATTGATGGATTTTCATGGAAGTTATTAAATAATGTGAAGTTACTGTCCGTTCGATTTTGAGCGCATTGTTGCTGTCAGTTGCTCAGCTTAGCAATGGAAAGCTTTCAGAATAGGGATGCCGATCAGAAAAGCCTCTAAGATATTACACCATCTATCACCTAAGCTCTAAGACATTTATTCTTGGAAATGTTTGAAGTTACATCTTCTATTGAGGGTTTTTGTTCCGAAATGTGAAGCTCGGTAGTCTGTGAGTCGATATGTACTTGATCAAAAATGTGTCCTTCCCTTCGATTCGATCAAACTTCCTTCGAGATCTTTTTATAATTTCCTCATTTAATGTTTTATAAATTTCGCTGATTTTTTTACTGTCTTGCCTACCTACTTGTCCATTTTCTTGCATAATAAAATAATTATGTTACACAGAAATATAAACGTCAAATTGAGTATGTTGCTTGAATTATTTTAACCATGTTCTAAACTCATGTAGTTTAGGAATATTTCCAAATATTTTATATAAGAACAATATTTAAAAGGCAAATATTGTTCGTTCCACCTAACGTCTTCTGTGGCGTTCTCGCTAAAGCTAAACCGAGCCGAAAAAGACACATTTTACGTGACTTTAACACAAAGCAAAGCCAACAAAGCTGATAGTAATATTAAGGAACTTATCTGCTTAGATTTGTCCAAGGAAAACAGCGGAAAATTGAGTTTTTCTCTTTGAGGTGAAGAATTACGCAACAAACTAGTGTATGCTAATGCTTAGCGGGGGCATTTCCTGCCTTTCCACCAAGCGCCAGTTTTGTCCAAGCTCAATAATGAATATTCATGAGACCGAGTTCGATTACCATTTCGGTTAAGTTGTTTCCAGAGGGCTCAAGTTGTTTTACTCGCATAATTAGAGCGTAGTTTAAGCAAAGTTGGGTATGTTAACGTATAAAGGCAATTTTCACGGTGGCAACCGCGTTATACTAATTTGGATATATATATAATACATAATTTTTTAGTCAATCGCTCATTTCCATAAAAAGCCTGAAGTAAATTAAATTAGGTAATTCCACTGGAAATTTCGGAAGTAAATTGGTAAAAAGGTAAGGCGAATTTTGGGTAGAAAGTCTGGGACAACTTTCAACAAAATGATATTTTGCAAAGTGAGAACCTTAGCTTGTGGTATCACCAAATCCATCTGCATTTAGTGAAATTTTAATCAGAGGATCGAAATAAAAATGGTTTTTCGGGGTAGAGTTTACCCAACTCTCTTTCAGGTTCATGCGAAATTTATATCAATTTTTGTTCAGAAATAATTATGTTTTTCTTTCGAATAGTTAATATGTTTAATTAAAAGAGATTAAGAACAGTTAGCAAGAGAATATTAAAAAATATTGATTGTTTTGATTCTGTTCCTATTGATTTGTCGTGTCAATTTGCCTTTAATGCCATGAGTTGGTAAATATTTCCAAATTTCATATGAAAATGTGCGTCATACATCGATATGTTATGTACCAGCACAAAAATAAACCGATTGTTCTTCACTGAGTGAAGTGTTAAAATAATAAACTTGGGATTAATATAAACACTCCTGGTGGCGTAAAAGGACTAATAAATATTAAGGAACGCGATAAATACTAATAAGCGGCAGAAGCATCGTCTGGCCGCGCTATCAAACAAAACGGCCCTTGTGGGAGAACAAACGGGTTTGTAGAATTTAACTTAATTAAAAGTCTCCTCAAAAATCTGCTGTTTTCTAGCTGCCATAAACATTTTTCGAAACGAATGGCCCGAATTTGTGTCGGGACTATTTTTGTGTTTGGCTAAATTAAATTTTGCAGCTTGCATTGTTTCGGCGTTCCCATTGTACGGGCGAAATAATTAAAGCCATCGCGGAATGTTCATTACTTCGGCATCATTATAAGTACATGTTCTTGTTTTTGGCTTTATTGTCTTGCACGCAAATGTCTTGGACGGGAACGTAATTAAATTTAATTCTCACTCGGCTTTGAAACCGTCTCTGCATCGCGCTGTAGGTGTGTCTTTCGCTGCATATTACCAAGATATTGTTTTTGGTTAAATAACGATAATAGCGAAAGAAACCAGCGATAGTGATGATTAAGCCAGCACAGCAAACTGATGTATATATTTTTTTAACTGTTTTGCTTAGATTGTAAAATGTCACTTTTCACAAATTTCCCTTCCTGTTTGTGGCTGGCCATCTCTAATTAGTTCCTCGAAAAATATGGAGAAACCTGCTCCTTTATTTAGGAGGGACTTGGAAACTGCAACCCAAAGTTTTCTCGTCAGTTACTGTCTTTTGACCAGATGCGGTTTTATGGCTTTTGAAACAATATTCCTCCTCAAAGAAAATTTTCTAAATTAATATTGGTTGCCTGGAATAAGTTTTAGACTGGAGTAAAACTCACTGTAATCCCGCGAAAAAAATCAGACAGTTTCACCCTTTAGTTTTGTCTTTAACAAGGTCATTTTTCATGCAAAATTTTCTTTGCTAAATTACTCACAGTAAACGTCGATCGATGTCGAAGCGGATAACGGTTGACTGATGTTGTTGTTCGAGGCCTGACATGTGAATGTGGCGTTTTGGTGTGACCTTTGCAGACCGTGAATAGTCAGTTGGTTGGAAAGCACGTTCTGGTAACGGATGTGCGTTTCCGAGGATTCAATTAGTTTTCCTTCGTGCCACCATTTTATCAATGGCATCGGTTTTCCTAGAACAAAATGCATCAGATTGCAGGAAAAAATTGTATCACACTTATTTCGGCTAAGCTAGAATTTTGCTTATTTACCTCCTCTGACAACGCAGTTCAGTTTCAAGTCGCTTCCTTCCTCGTAAGGCCCTGCTATCTGGGCAATTTCCTTGCCTGATTCGTCGGTTATTCTGGGGGCTTCTGGAGGAACTGAAAGAACAACAAAATGTTCAACATCCTCAAGATGAAGCATCTTCTTTAAGTGAAATGCGCTTGAACTGGAGTATTTCATAAATATTGATAGAATAAGTATGTAGAATGCGGCGTTTCTTTACGAGCCGCAGGAGCAATAAAATGTTAATTGTGTCCAAGATTGAATAAAAGCGAAACATGTTCAGGAAACTGGAGCCACGCAACAAATGCCTATTGAAGGTCTTATCATCTTTTTAGAATAGAAAATTGCAATTGCATGTTAATACATCAACTATAAAATGGGAATAAGTAATATTTTTACGACATTTGAACACGAAGCCTAATTAAACGCGTTGTTAGGCCCGTTTTTACTAGCAGTTAAACTTCAAGCTTTGTTATAAATTAATGAATTTGCCATGGAGCGTTAGCCTAATTAGGTTCGCCTGGTTAGCATTGATAAGTGACAAGGTCAGAAAATTTCACCGAACATTTATTTCGAAACATTGTGCCGTTTTGTGGATGGTAATTATGCAGCACTGACAGAGGCCACTTCACCAGCATCAAGCGCCTTTCAGGCCAGCAGAATGTAAAACAGAAACGTCATTATAAATAATTGAGCCCAAAACGTTCCTTTGGAAACAAATATGGGACTTTCTTCCGTTAAGCATTCGGCAATGGAGCGCCCTAATTGCTTCATGTTCCAAGCTTCTGCAGGTGTAATTACGGGAAATTGTAGTGTTGGAAGGTAGGTGAGGAGGGTTTCAATTTTCCACTCAGTTTAGGCAAAGAGGTAATATACAGTTAAGATGGMAAGCAAATTTTAAATGTAACATTASYAGTCGGAATATGAGTAGATCTGATGTGGACTTAACTAATTTAGAGAGATATATATTCCAAAAWAAATTAAGGATCTCTTCTAAAAAGAAAAGCTCATATACACACATAAACTCTAGTCGTTTGTTCATTAAGTTAATTCTCAAAGTCTTCTATRCYCTCACTTGGCCCCACTYTCGTCAATCTCAAGTCTCARTTAATGTCCTGGTYTCACCTCCAAAAAGAAGGAGGAYAACCRAAACATTWAATTTTTTAATYCTTAGTTGAGGTTGTGTGAGYACGCTTTTAATTATTCTCACAWTTTTGTCGTAAATTGCGGAATMTCTTACCCTATGTATCATYCCKTTTYYTGGAATTTGTTGCAAAGTTCAAGGTGAATGTTTAGATACTTYCTTTCAAGTTTTTCCAGATGTTGTTTGAAAAAMCATTTTTAAAGTGTTGATYTCCATTGCGATTTATTCATTGGTTGTGAGTAAACGCAGCAAGTTTTAATGACATTCAAATAATACTAGTCAGGATGTTCCTGAAATATTTTTAAATGGAAACCATGTGAAACTAATGTATGTCTAAAAGAAAGATTCCAGCAAAGGAGACAGATTTTCCAATTTTGCTGAATACGATGTTAATACATATATTCCTAAGGCTAAGGTATTGGAAGGTTTCAACCTACCATCGTGTATGTGTTGAACACCAAGAATTGGTGGCGTTAATTGGCGGTTTTACGTTAAAAGTGGATTAACTGCCGATTTACTTAAATTTTCGAATTCCGGCAAGTTAATTATTAATACTGAATTTCGGATTGAACACTGAACTGAGTTGAAGTGATGTAAAATTCCACTTACCGCACAAAGCCATTTAAAATTGAAATTTTCCGAATTGCTCGTTGCACAGCTACACTAAAGTGCACTTAAAAAAATTGCAGGAATATAAACACAAATTTCATTGCATCTGCAATAGTGTACTGTACATTGATTTCTAAACGGCTTTAGGGTTTTGTATTATTTCGCTTCTGATACTTAAGACGAGAGAGATTGGCCCGGTTTCCGGCAATGAAGTAGACACAATTCCTTCCTAATATTAAAGATCTATGGGAAAACAAAATTAATGATTTTTCCCAATGGTCTCTTCACATAATATTAAAAGCTAACTTGTTTCCATTGGGTTGAACATAAAGATGTCATTTAACAATAGAGAAAGCCGTATATCGAAAAGCCAATATAGCGGCCGGTGTGTTTCGAATGCCAATGAAAACCGCGCTAGATTTTTCGATCAAGATGAAAGGGTTTTTATTGGCAAAACGTTCATTATTTTTCGTTCAGATTTAAATAATCCGTTCCTTTTATGACAAACGGAAATTCTAAATGTGCCTTTGAAACTGGCGCAATACAGAAAAAAATATGCTAATAAGGACCTAGCCTTTGTGTAGCCCGAATGAAAAAGAATATCCTAAAAATTCTTTATTTCATTCCGAAATGGTGGACGGAAACTGATTGAATTAAATTAGTATTCGGATTTTTAAAAGAGAGGATTTTAATCTGGGCGTTTCAATAAAATTTAAATGCGCCTATATTAGTTTTATTAAGTACTGGTTTTAATGAGGAAAGGGGCGCCTTTGTAGAAGAAAAATATTATTGGAAATCTGTCTGTGTGAAACACTTTTTTGCATTTTATTAAAATCGTACAAGCCAACAGAGGCTTGTCTATCTGACAATTATTATTGCTCTTAATATCAAATGTTCATTAATGCGTGTTAGAAGAGCTTCATTTTTGCCTTTGGGCTGGCTAAATTAAAACTACAAAATGTTAAAGTAGAGTTTCAAGTAAACCTTCCTAGCAATGTCTGCATTAATTAAGATCCGAAAATTAACTAAATTAAAATCGCTTTATTATGGACTGTAAGGGCTGACTTTTCTCTAAGTTATTAATATGGGGTAGTTAGTAAAAGCAGCATAGTAGGAGAAACACGGGTAGTCTCTCTCAAAAAGTACCCAAATAAGGGTTTTAATTTGGCGATTTTACAGACTCAGCTTGCTTATCGGTTACTTCAATTTTTCTACACCTCCTACATAAACCGCTATTGCCCATCTAGAGAAATAACCCCAATAAGATAATTCCAGACCCACATATTTCAGGCTGAACAGAAATCCGGGTTTGGCCTCGGGTCATTTTTATATTTTATCTAAAACGTTCTAAGGACGTTTTATCTATCATCGGGACACACACATGATTTTCGTTATTACAACTGCCACTTACCGGGGACCGTATTAGGCTGAAGTATTGGGGCTCGTTCTTGACCCCCTTCTCCTTTATTCACTCCCCACGTACCCCCGGCCTTTTTCTCAGTCCCCATTATATAGATGACAAATTGCCGAAGGGCGTGAAAGCACTTCTTATAAGTGAAAAAGTTAATCGAAGCCGTTGAAGAAGAAATTTGTCAGGGTCCGGAAATGAACTGGGCGTGGGGAGTCAGACAGTAATAAATAAATGCGGGTTATGAGGAGAAAATCGACGATGAAGATTTTATGAGAAGCTTAAGAAGTGGTGAAAAAGGATTGAAGGGCAGGCGTGATGATTATTTTTAATGACGGCTTTTTGGGACCTATAAATCTAGATTGAATTGGTCTTTGCTTTAAATGCCAATTTTTTCTTCTTTATATGTTCAACAAGTAAAATTTTAATTTTTTTCACTAAAACCTTATTTGGCTAGTCTAGAGCATTTTTTTCACTAACTCACATCCCCAGGTGCTTTCGGCACTCCCTTCAGACGGATGTTCTGATCTAAGGTTTCCACATAATCTTCTTTAATACAGCAATTTTTTATCGTTATCAAAAAATTCGTTGATTTGTAATCTACCATTTGTTATATTCCTTTTACTTCTGGTTTTCACCCTTCAGCCTTTCTTCTTTTGTGCAACTAAACGTCTAAAATGCATCTGAAGATACGTACTACTGCAACATTAGAGCAAGGAAATTGAACAGAAAAAAGAAGTGAAAACATTGAAAAATGGAAGTTTGCCAAAAACCTCTAAAAGCAAGTGATACTCTTTTTGGTCAAATCTCTTCTGTGGCCGCACTGTACAATCCGTAAAAGTTTGATCCTATAGTTCCATTGAAATTTCAGTGCAAATCTGAAAAAAGAAATTTTGCTCGCTTGAACAAAACGTACAAATTGCATATTTTGGTTGCTGATAGAAAAGCGTCCAATAATAAATTAAAAATTGAGTTACTGAAACTTAGCGCTGAAAAGCCAATGTTAAAAGTTCTGGTAGTATCTAGCGAAGCTGCCTGCAAAACGATGTCACTGCCGTTGGGGTTTTCGCTTGCCTGAAGAGTTTCGGATTTAGTTTGATCAAAATTTTCAACTTTGCGGTTCCCAGTGGAGGCCACTTCACCTCCCACACTTCCCAAAGATACTTCTTGACAATAATCGCCGCCCCCACTTGGGTTCGAAAAATGCGCTCCAATTTCCAGTCTTCCCCGCCCTAACCGGCCTTAATAAAACTTCCTATGAAAGCTGAAGTAAAATAAAAAAATACCAAACTGTTCACCGCCTGAGTTATTAAGAATGAAGCAAAGAGAAATTGCGTCTTTCTTTAGGTAACGAGTTCTGGCTTGTCTGGCTGGCTGGCAAAAACAAATTAAAAACGAAAGTAATTAGTGACGCTGGTTTGCATCGAAATGAAAAGCTTTTAATGAGGTGGAAAAAATGTTATTTAACAATTTTGTTTCACAGCCACCAGAATGAAAGTGATTCAGCACTGTAGGTGGGATATTATGGATCATTTAGGCTTGCATTGCATAATTTATCAGAGCAACAGCTCGGTAACAAAGCAAATATATTTTTGACGGAAATGCATAATAAATCAGGCCAACGTACACGTTTCAAGTTCAATTCGAAGCGAAGCTATCTAACGTTTCATTTCCTAATGGTCCAAAATCGATTTCGCTAATGAAGCGAAACTGGAAACTTTCAACAAGCAAACACATAAATTTGTCTTGATAATACATTTTCAATACGCGAAAAATATGTAAATGTAGTCGTATTTTATTTCTCTTTCCGTTTCGTCGGTTATAAGAAGCCGGAAAATGACATTAAATATGAATTCGCCTTTTTTAGCTTTCGTACAATCACGAGAAATGTTTCCTCCATCCGAATGCCTGAAGAGATGACTCATACGGACTGAAATAAGTTTTGTTATTCCGACGCAATTTATTAGCGTTTGCTGTTTTGCTTGCTTTCAATAAAACGCGATTTAATATTGCGCTTTGTTTAGATCTTTCTCAGTCTCCAGCAGAGTATTTTGAGTTACGTTAAAAACTTTTTTGAAATGCTGACCTAAATAAGCGCCGTTTGCCTTGGGCATTTCGTTATGTAAAGTAAAATGCCAGGTATTTCCCTACGGCTTGAGCGTAATAAAGAAAAGGAAACAGGCTCTAGACTCGCCTTAATTTCTCTATTTATTCCATCTGGTATGGAAGGGAATAGGGAAATATATAGGAGAATGCTGGGATTTTTGAGTATTACTATCCTGGTTTGAAAACTCATTTATTTTCCTATAATTTGCTGTTTTGTTTGGTCTAATAAAGCTCATAAATTCCCGGAATTGAATATCGGGCCAAATTCGAAAATAATGCGTTTCTTCCACAAGCAAACTCAAGTTGTCGAAAATTTATCGTTTCGAAATGGTAATCGGGTGCGCGTACTCTTGCAAAGGCGTCAAATCAGAGGCTATAATTTAATAATTTTATAGCACCATGTACAAACAGCCATTTATTTAAAGCATTGCCATGATATGATAAATATAACTTAGTACGTAAATTACTCGAGTGCATATCTGAATAATTTTCCATACCTTACTTGGGGATTGTTATTTATGAGCGGCAGCCCGTTGGAGAGAAATCGTGCTTTAACAAGTTGTGAAGCTTGTCTGAACGGTTTTATTGGAATGGAAATGCAAAGTTTTAGCGCGGAACTCACTCACTGATTCACTTATCGCAGGCCGGGAATTAATCCAAAGAAGAGCCTTAGAATTTCCGGGAAAGTTGATAGTCGTGAATGGTAAATTGAAGAAGATTTACACGTGTGTGCCAAGGTGCACCGTTTATCTGGGATCTGTCCTTTTGTCCAAAACTATTCAAAAGAGAACACACAATTTATTTCAAAGCTTTTTATTTTAACTTGTGTGTAAATGCGGATCCATCGAACACTACTGGAACTTATTTTAAAAACAAGTGCTGATTTTCGTCAATTCCAATGCTTAATTTCTTCAACGTGCAAACGCGGACAGAATGAAACAAAACTGGCGACATTTTAGTTCCAGTCAATCTGCGTAAAAGACCAGGGAAGCACGACTTGTATCTTTGTGTTCGGCCAGTAAAATGAGATGGGCCCTCCAAGTACGAAGCAAACGTGTCCCGAAGGTCCTTAAAAGCCGCTAGTTCTGCTGCCTCCATTTATTTTGAATGGAAACTGTGCGTAACTAAAATATTCACCCGGCGAAACACCTAAAACTCCGAAACGTTTTAAAACTAAGTAAATAAAATACCGCTCTTGAAACTTTGCCTTGCGATGCATTATGCATAGAAAGAGTTTATTTTTTCCTGCTAGGTCTCGTTTTGACTCTATATTCGTATTCTCTGAGGCGTTTGGCTTAAATCGTTGACTCGCTCATTTGGGATTATGGTTTTTTAAAATTGAAATTAATTAAAGCTGATTTGAGCTGCTGAGGTTGAAATAACCTGCAGGTTTAGTCGATATTTTGACAAAGGAATTGAGGTTGATTTTTAATTTATGGCAGACTAACAAAAAGTTCAGGCGCAGTTTCGAGAAGGGATCCGAAGCGTTAAATTAGGAAAACGCTCTCGATATTGGTTAGCTGCTTTTTCAGAACGCAACACATTAAATTGTGATTTGTTATTTTTGTGGATTCTTTTTTGGCTTCAATCGAGATTCATTTAATTGCCGTTTTTACTCTTTTTGGGGTCAAGATACTTAAAGCAAAACTAGACCAGGGTATGGGCAGATATTATAAGATAATCCAACGCACAAAGTGCCAACTGTTTATTCTTTTAGGTGCATCACTGCTCACTTTCTTGCTTCTGACAAGAGTTGAACTTGTTAACACTTCTTTTCGTCTTCGTGCATTTAGCCATAAACGAGTGTTGAGAATACACCTACTTACCAATAACAGTAAGACGAACTCTCAAGTTTATCGTTGGTGATTTCAAGTAGTCGATACGGCATCGATACTCGCCATCATCATTTTCACTCACATTCACAACACTCAAAGTGGATGGTTCGGTGCTGGTCCTATACAGAGCCCTTGATTTGATTTTGTCGTCCGTCCAATGGCTGGGCCTTATTCCAAAAGAACCACGAACATCATAACTGTAACAAAAGGGCATTTCAGTATTTAGTCAGATTTTTCGTATCGCGTCCCCATTTTTCGCCCCCGGTACTCGAAAGAACTTTTAAAACCGGTGAATGGTTAGGAAAGTGGATTTGAAAACCATTTTCACCGTTTCCGAATTTAATTCAGCCGGTGCGGCCATTAAGCGATATAAATGAATGTCAGTATACAGTGGGGCTCAACTGTAAATTGTTTTGATAATTTTTCTATGAATTTACATTAAATTATATAATTCTGGATTTTTTCGGCAACACTTGGTTAAAACTATCAAAAGAGTTAGTTTTTGCGGCTTTTGGAACGAACTGGTCAGTTTTTGGCGCTTTAAGTGCCATGCAGAAAGGAAAGTTTTTTTACAGTTTCGTATGCCACTCATGCTTTCCAAACGCCAGAAAACTCTACTTTCTACGGCGGTCTGAAAACCCGAAAACCTAACCAGCTTTATGAATATAACTGTCATGAACTATAACATTCTTTTGCTTATTTCAGTTCCATTCGGTTATTAAAGCCCAAACAGAAAACAATTATCCTTCGCTAGGAGACAATTTTGATTCCAAGCCACATAAAATTTCCGTTCCCGTCTTCGGAATAATCTTAACAAATCCTCTCGAATTATTTTCTCCTAGGATATTGAAACCGCTCCCATTTCAAATCTATTATTACAGGTCGTCCATTATGCAACGACAATGCTTCTGAGAGCAAGCGAATATTCTGGGAACTGATCCTGGAAATCCCACTTGCATTTCTCGTTCAAGATGGATTCTCTTCTATTAAAAGGAGGTTTTGATGCGCACTCTGTCTGAGGAAAAAACGTCGTCCTTTTCTTTAAATTTTTATTTCGATCGGAGATTATTCTGAATAGGTGTTTTCCATTGAGTGCAAAGATTGAAAACTATTGGACATTGTGGGGAACGTAAATGCGCATTGATCACTGCAAAAATTGATTTTATCCGATGCTGTTGAATGTGCCTCCAAAAACCCAGGTGTCTCCATAAACATTCCTCAGCTTCTACGCCTGAACTCTTTTCATATGACTGCAGACTTTATAGGACATTGACAAATAAAAACCAATCAAACATTAAATTAAAAATTATTTTTTTTGGAAAACTCAATCAGTTTTAACTCACAGTGGTAATCAGCGCACAATTTACGATCGACCAAACTGCACATAATGAAATACAACAAGGTTTCCGAATTGGACTACTAAATTACAGATTTATTAAAATGCCAGCATTGGACCATAATTAAATTGTCTAATGCAAATTAGCATTCTCTGATAAATCCCATTTAGGCCGATCCTGCTGCCGCTAATATTCTGCAATGAAATTGAAAGCCGAACGTTTATAGTTAGAGAGTTTTTAACTTGATGGACACAAAAACAATTAATTACGTTAGCATTTAGCATAGCCGAGAATCAGTTTCGATTTAATAATTGTTTTCGAAATTGGCGCAGATTAGCTACTTTCAGCCAGTTGGCGGAATATATAATTCGAAATTCAAGCTCGAAAGACAATTAATAAAAGAGTTAATTTCAGACAAGAACACTACCGAGTTATGCGCAGTTAATTCAGATTAAAAGCAATCTTTATTAGACGCGATTTTGAGCTCACGTTTAAGGTTGTTCATTTGTCTTGTTTCATTTTAATAACAATTTGAAAGAGCCGCTCGCCGTCTGCTAAGATTATAAATAGGACTTTGATTTCCTGCAGAGGAAACTTTACGCGCTCTTCTTACAAAGTTTAATAATCATTTATTATAGTCGACATTTAACTTCCAAACTATATGTAGATTTACCCTTTGCTGGTATTGGTTTTCTAGTTAGGTCATTAATGAGTAAGTGCAGAACAAACTAAACTTGCTTTAACATTCGGAATTTTTTTAATTTGTTTTCATAAACTCACAAATTGCTCATGTTTGCCCTTACTAGATTAATTATGCTTAACCAGGAAAAGGTCATAATGTTTAAGTTATCCGGGTTTTAGTGAATAATGTACTGAGCCGCAAGTTTAACGCTCAGCTTAATATTCTCTGATTATTAACTTTGCGTGATTTCGGAACCGGTAGTCACATCTAAATAATATTTTTATCGAATCAAAATCAATCGTGTACAAAATTCGAGTGATTTGAAAGGCAAAAAATTAGTCCAAATGTTGTAGAGGATGTTTAAAAAGGGCAATGTTTTTTTGTTCAAAGTTTAAATCCGTTTGCGGCCAATATCGGCTAGTTCAGACAGAAAACCTCAGTAATTTGGATCTTTGAGGGTCTGTTTACCTTGCACCAATCAAGAGATGTTCATTTTTAAATGTCACATTTTCCGCGCGTAATTTATTTCAACATTTTTTTATTACCAAGAATGTAAAGCTGTGAATACGTAATTTTACTGCAAGCTTAGAGCTGTGCACTCCTGTTGACTTTTTACGGATGTCAGTCCATAAAGAAACAACACAAGAAAAAACATATTTTTGGGCTTTATTAAAAAAATATTACTTTATTCTAACAAAACAAACATTTTTACCTCAGAGGCTTTACACTTTACACTTTACACAGCTCAGAGAGTGAAAAAATAACCCGAACACTCAATTTGTATTGAAATGTTGTATGTGAAATGTGAAAATAAAAGTTTAATGAAACTTGGCATGGAATATGTCATCGGTCACAAACAAAGTTTCTCTCGAATAACTAGGGATAAACAGACAATTAAGGGTCCAACTTCCTCAAGGCAAAGCTCTTATATAATTTACTTGTTTTTTTGAGAGACCCAATATTGCCCACAGAAAAAACTTGATCATAAAGGATTCGACAGATAAATTATTCAGATCGAATCACCGACTGAGAAAATATTCAGAATAAAAATTTAAGGACTATTTAATTGATGCGTTGAATTTACGGCGCAGTGCATAAACAAATGTTAAATCAATCAACGAACAGAACTTAAATGTAATTTAATTTAAATGTAATTGTGTCACAAAAGCGTAATATTCGTGTCATTTTCCCAGAGCGGCTAAAATTGTAAACCACAGAATAAAAACACTTTTTATTGATATTAAATATACTAAATGTCAAACGCCAAACAAAAAATAATAATGAATTTCTCAATTCCATAAAATATATTTTAATTGAAATATTGCACTTTTCGAATGGGAATATTTATCTACACCTATCAGGATGAAAAAACTATGTTTGTAATTTCAAATTAATGCAATTTCGGCACAAAAGCGATTTTCCAATAATTAGCGTGACTGAATAAATTAAAATTAATAAACGAGTTTTTAGGAAACTGCAATTGGAAAACTTCATTAAATGTAAATGCTGATTGGTTTAAAAATATATATTTGCCGCTATAGTCACGTGAATTCCGATGCGATGGACTATCATTTGCACTTACAGAATGCAAAAACTATGACAATATACGGCGTAGTGCATCCTACCATTTAATATAAATGCAAATTGTGAAAGCTCGTTTATAATAATAAAAGCAGTATCCCGAGCAGTTACGAGACACTCTTATTGTATCTTGGCATTTTAATAAAATAACCGACATGGCTCTATAGCCCTTTAGGTTGGCTTAATTCTGCATTATACGATATTCCATGGAACTCTCTTAGAAGCCTTTAACTGATTTACATGAAAAATGTTTCAGGAGGGATTAACGCGAAAATGTTTTACTTTTATCGCGCTAGCAACTGCACCTTAAAACGAACGACAAGTGGTGCCTTTTTTCAGAAAGAAATTTCAAGCATGGTCAGACAGTTCTGCACTGAATCAATCCGATCGTGATACTGAAACCACTACTTGATAACTATTTCGAAACTTCCGAAGTGAAACTCGATACCAAGGAGCGGAAAACGAATATATTTTAAATTTGAATTTGATATGAGCGGAAAAACAACGCAAGTTTCAGTATAAAGTAAACGGTGAACGGGACCTTCTTTAAATTCGCGATGGCTTTCCAAACTTCGAATTACCTTTGGAGATAAACTGAAAACTTACGATAACTTATGGAGTTTTAATATTGGAATTCAGAAGCGCTTTCCGGGAAATAATGTGAAAACAAGTTGCGATGTTATCGGATTTTTGCATAATGTTACAAATTTATTTGCAGCAGCGAAAATACTTAAAAAGGTATTATTTCCGCAGGAATTAAAATTAAAAAAAAACACGAAATTTACGGGGTTTTGCCGATGTCTCCTGGATAGTTCAGATTTGAATTTTATAGCTCATTTTAAAAATATATTTTGATTTATTTTCCTGACTGCGTGTAATTGTTAAATATTTTTTCTTCCCTGGGTTTCAGTCAAAATCTGAAATAAAAATGTTCTTATCGTTTATTTCATATAACGTTTCGGCGAGCCAAAAGCACCATCAACAGATTTACATTCAACACAAACCCATAATTGGAAAACATTAGATTCGTTTAGGTCTTGGCTGTCTTGAAACCTGACATTTGTTTGAATTCACAAACAAATGGAGCAAATACCAGGAATGAAACCTAAATTTTCGTTTTCTTTTCAGGTAAACGTGTAAACTGATTAATCAGTCATGCTTTTCATATACATATTACTTTAATTGCAGCGGCAACAACTCTGTATTTAAACATTAAAACTACCGCACTGTATGTAGATATTATTTTACAATTTACTCAAGTGGCCTTGTTCAAATTTAAGGGCCAGTAAACCTGGTGAATTTATTTGGGAAATTTTCAAGTATATTAAGGGAACATTAACAACGAAAAATATGGAAACTGAAGTTTCCGGCGCTCGCCTGGCACCGAGTCAAATCGTGATAATTTACGTGTTCAAAGTCTCTAAACATTTTATTCGATTAGTGCATTTGAGCGTGTAGTGTAAATTAAAATTCCATTTTCGACACATTTCCCCGAACAGTTTCAATAGGGAACAGTTATTGAAATGATATATTCCCCACATTAGTTCACAAAGCTATTTTTTCAAAATCGCTCGTTTCCTACTAGTGTTTTCTTTAT